CCTACGGCAGCTGTACTGGATCGCGTGGTGTGCAAGAAGGGGATGAGAGCCGTGCCTTCGGCAGGCTGAGAAGGCTCCTGGAGGAGCTCATCGTTGTCCTCAGTTACCTAGTGAGAGGTTATGGGGCTTAGGTGGTAGATCTAGGTGTGGGGTTTTATTTTTAGGTGCACATTAGAAGGAGATAACAGTTGAAAGTTGTAGCAGTGCAGATGATGTGCACTGGAGGTTAAGCATGGGAATGGGTTGCCCAGACAGCTTGGGCTGCTTCCCTCCTCCATTCGCATCCAAGGGGAGAGCACCAGGCCTACTGGTTATAGAGCACTTACAGCTTGTTGTGGGTGGAGCAGCAGCATCAAATATTCCCCTTCTTAGCGTCTTTTGCCATAGCTGTGTGTTACAGGCCCTTGTGACTGAGATGTGTGTTGGTCCTCTTTGTTTTGTTTGTTTTGAAGAGGGAACTTTTCAACTTGTCCATAGGGTGTTTTGAAATTCTTTTGCTTTGAAGTATCTGTTATTGTAAAACATACATGTAGTGACTTACTCCTATTCCCTTCAGTCGTTAACAATGCTGAATGCAGTCACCACGAGGAGTGGTTCATAAACACCTCCACTGCTGAGTTTGTTCTGGTTTGATAAGCGAGGCAGGGAATTGTCATCTCCGTGACCTTTTCATCTGAATCTTGGTGGACACTGCAGAGCAGGGCAGCACAGGTTGAAACCCAAGTCTGGTATCATATAGAGCTGTAACATGAGGGCTTGGTAACTCTGATAGTTTGATTTTACACGTGTCCAGAACAGTGGGATGCACAGAGAGCTTGCAGCTCATCTCCAGTAGTGTCTGTATTGGGTTTGTATTTAAAAGCTAAAATGATGGGTTGCTTTTACTTATCCAGGGATGGACCAGCTTTATCCAGCTCGGGCCCTTTCATTTGGTGAGCTGTACATATTTTTGCAACCTCAGTTTTCCTAATGTCCTTAATGTTGAAAGTGAAATGAATTGAAGAGGACAAAAGGGAGTTAATCACGGTTCCATTTACTTGTTGGTTCATGTTCAATCAGCTTTGTCTGTCCAAGGCTGAATTGTTGTGCTTTGGCAGTGGGACATGCTAAAGCTGCTTTATTTACTCTTCTGACATACAGCTGGTCTCAGGCAACTATTCCACAGTAAATAATGTACATATATTTTTTTTAAATGTTGTAATACTTGAACGTGTTCTCAAATACTTTGATTTATGTACTGATAATTTGTGGCTAGTATTACATGTCAACTTTATACTGTTAAACTATGGTGAATGTTAGTTGAAAGGGTATGTCATCTGCAATGCAATCAGGCATTAAGGGGTAATTCCACAGAGCATATGTGCAGGTAGGAGATCTGTGTCTTTCCAAGGTTTGAAGACAACATTTTATCAGTAATGTTGTTGAAATTGTAAAGGTGAGAATCTGCTGTTCTCACTTCACAGACCCAAATGTATGAAGGTTTTCAGAACCCAGTCTCAATAGCACTTGATTTTGTGTAATTGTTTCTGCTCTTCTGAAAGTGTACTGAGAATGTGAATCTCAAGATTCAGGCTTTCAGGTTTCCTTAATGAAAATGAAAGCAAAACGAAAACTACAGGAAAATACTAATAGGTTATTCTCTTTATGAACTTGATACTGGGGTGTATTAATTCTACAACCAGTAATCAGTCATCCACTGAACCTTTGGCTTCTCCAATTTGTTGCCTTTGTTCAGCACCTAATTTAGGGTGAGTACTGATTCCAGCCTCCTCGCTCCCAGGAATGCAGCATAAAAATGCGAGGTAGAACAAGTGGATGAGACGAGTGAGTGGAAGATGTGAGGCTGGAGGTGAAGTTTGAAGAACAGCCATCTTAAAAGCACTGGCCACTGGCACCTCCTACATTGTAGGGCTAAACAGGGCGATGCAGGCCAGGCAGGCACTTGTCTGTGACCACAGGCTGCTTGGCCTTGTGGTCAGCACTGTGTAGTGGTCAAATATCGACCAAGATGTTTGCACAGCATCTGGCTGGCTGTGTTTTGGGAGGGGGAGAAAGGAGGAGAGGATGACAGCGGCCGAGAGAAACTTTCCTGGGAGTCCTTGTTGGGGAGCATGGAGAAAATGAGAGGAGGCTCGCTTACAGAAGTTGTCCTCCACCCCTCGGCAGCTGTTCTGGCTTCGTGTTTCACTCTGCGCTGTTTGAGCATCTCGGGGAGGCACAGATGTTTGACTTTGATTCATGTACTGAGGCAGACTGGAAGGGCTGAATCCTTGCTCCTGATGCCAGAGCCTTTTGGCCGAGGTTACCCTGACGCAAACCCCAGTCCCAGCTCCCACTTCACGAAGGAGAAACATTCCTGGGACATGTCACATTTGGCACTCAGTCCTCGGTGCTGTTTTATGACCGCTTCCTGTGTTTAGGGCTGAAGATTTTGTCTTGGCCGCGGGCGTGGGTTTTACTCAATCGTGACAATTTTCCATGAACTTTAGTTCCTGAGACAGATGTTCTAGAGAAATGTACCTTTGTATCCTGTGGCTTCATGAAGTATTAAATTAAGAGAAAAATAATAACAACATGGACATAGCAGAGCTCGGGCCAGCTGTTCTTAAGGTGTTCCCTAACCCAGTGTGAAATTAATTCTGCACAGACGGGTGCTGTCCTGTTAGCAGGTTATCAGGTTTGTGCTGCTCGCTGGTGGCCAGAGGGCACCCGGACCCATTGCCCGTATGCTCACAAGCTAGTGTTGGTTACATACTGTGTCCGTGAAGGGAACTTTACTCGTTCTGATATGACAGAAGCAGTAAAAGCTGCTGTTTTGGTGCAGAGAACAGGGAGTGGGATGGGTTTGGCCGTATGTGGTGTGAGGCCTGGTGGTGGTGGCAGCCGGGCCTGCGGCCAGCCGAGCGGAGGGGCTGCGTGCTCCCTTTGCCCGTGCTGGCTGTCTCTGCTTGGCTTCACGCTGCTTTTTTGAGCTGCCCTCCTCTTTTCAGTCTTCTGAGATCCTGTCCTGGCTTTTATTCCAGTTTAGCCAATTCTCTCTTAGAGTTTCCGCCCCCTGGTGAGTACAAGTGTGATTATTGAGCAGATGTGTTGCCTTCACGCTGCCCGCTCCAGCTGCCTTTATCTCCCCTCTTAATCTTAAATCTCCCGCAACCTTTTTAGCTCATTAAGTTCCGTGGAGCTAGGACTCTTTGCTAGTTAAATACATCAAAAAAAATCTTTTATCTGATCTTCTTGCAATTCTGTAAACAAGCTCCTTAATCATGCTTTTCTTTTAATGCCAAAGAAACAAACAAAATTGTTTGCACTGTGACTATAAGCAAACTAATACAATACAGCAGGCTAAATATTGAGATGTTTATCCTTTCCTTCCTTTGCACCCCCCAGTTCTTTCAGAAACAAGATTTAAATCTATAGACTTTCATGTAAGTTAATCATTTATGGAAGAAAAAGAAGAAAGTAAGAGAAGTTGTCTTTGCCTGAAATCCTCTGTGGTGTGAAGTCAGAGAACAGGCAGAAGCCAAAATGTAACTGTATGGGAATGTGCTTAGATATAAAACCCAGGATGTAGCTGTGGGAATGCCTTTAGATACAGGACTGGAATGTAACTATGTATTGGTGAAACTCAGAAAGCTGGGAATGTCATGCCTTGTGTTTCAGCACTGCAGGCAACTGGCAGTGTTTTTCAGAGCTGTTCTTGTAAAAACTGCTTTTCCTGCGTTTGGGGCCTGATCCAGGCTTTTTTATTTTTTTTCCTTGGCTTGAACTCATGTGAACTAGAACGGAATTAGCAAGAGGCAGTGAAGCTGTGGTTCTGTTACTCTCTCCTCGGTGGTAAAGCTGGCTCAAGAAATTCCTGCTCCAAATTGTAGTTCCCTGCTGGTCTCACTTTTTCCAGGAACGGGGTGGTGTGTTTTTTCTGCTGGGACTGAAACGTGAAATATCTGACCTGATTTTTCCAAAAAGCTTTGCAGAAAACTTCCTATTAATTCTTATTTCCCCCGAGGCAGGCTGCTGTTGGTGAGCAGTGTGGCTCCGTGAGCAGTTAGGCTGGAGGAGCTGAAAGACTGAGGCGCCCCGTGATGGGAGCAAGGGACAGGAATACAGCTCTTCCACCAACCCTTTTGTAACGGGAAATCACAGCCTCAGTGTATAGGTTTTTGTAGTGTAGCATTTGCTGCTAGAAACGGGTCCGTTCAAATTCTCAAGGCAATAGCCTGATGAAACTTAGGTTCATGAACTCTCTGAACAAAGTGCCTTCCTTTCTCAGTCTCCTGTTTTTTGTTTCTTTGTTTGTTTTTCATGTTGCAATAAGCAAAGAAGAGTGCATAAAAGGAAACATTCAGCCCTCTAGCCAAAAGAGTTATTCTAACAAATACGTTTTCTGAAGGCAACTTTTACGGGCATGTAAAATTTCACTGGCCCAAAGGACAGAATCAGTCTAGACTAGGGGCAAATGACAACTGATGGTGTATCTTCAGCTTGACTGCAAGTCACTTGACTCATGGCAAATGCTGTATTTTTTGGTAGTCTACTGTGAGGCGGTTTAGTCAGTAGCCAGAGTTTTGCAGAAGGAACGAGGAGAGGACTGTCTGAGCCAGGAGTGTCAGCAAAAAAAATTACAGTTTTGCTCAGACTCTTAATTTCTTTCCTTGGTTATGGCCTCCAGACAAATAGGTTACTGGCTGTACAGTGACAGAGAAAACATTTAAATGTGGCAGTCATAAAAGTATAATACTACTTCATCTCAAATCCTTGTTACTAAGCTGTCTGGTTTATCTGTATGTTTTTCTAGTAATACGATTTTTCTTTTTTCTTTTTTTTTTTTCTGTCATTTTTTTCTGTAGTTACTTTAAATCTGTGCTGATTTAAATAGCTTCAATTTAGGTGAAACTGCAGTGGCAATTAATGAGTTAAATGAATGTGTCCCTGCCCCTTCCCCCTGAGTCCCAGAGTATTCTTGTATAAAATTTTACAGGGAATCATTTTTATCCATGCAGGGCAGCTCTAGAAGAAGTAGAAGGAGATGTGACAGAACTGGAACTGAAACTTGACAAGGTAAGCTTTCTAATTCAACAAAGTCTGCCTTGGAAAAATTCTGACAAGGTATGTGTTCGGGTAACTCAAGGTCACAGCTGGGAGGTGGCTGTTGGAGAGGGGAAGGACCTGGGTCAACCCAGAGACCCCAGCCTGTGTAAGCAGCGTGAACCAGCATGGCCATGGCCACAGCTGGATGGTCTTGTTGTAGAAATCCCAAGCCAATGCTTTGTGTCTGGTAGTCTGCAGGCACAGATACAGCATGATAGGGGTGTGTGTATATAAACATATATCCGTCCTTCAGTCTGGAGGACTTAACTACTGTAAATTTTTATCCTGCTTGTTGTCATGCTTCGTGCACGTATATAAAATAGACGTTCTGTGTAGCATCTTTTCAGGGCATCGCAATTCATTTGCCACTTTCTCTAACCAGTAGTACTTGGACGCTTTTAGTCTTAGCATTTTGTGTGTAGCTTGTTTTTGTTTTAAATCTCCAGAAACTCTCCTCTCTTTGTATGTTACGCTAAATACATAAAATTATTTGTTGCTTGTGTTGTAATGTGGCAGACAGATGTCACTTGTTGACCTCCTTCACTGTGTTTTGAATGTGGACCTTTCTTTTGGCAGCTGTGAGTTGGCTGCACAGAGGCAAAGTCAGTGTCAAGTGTAATTTTAAGTGGGAAGACTTCTTCCTTATTTCTTTGTAATTAGTGTAACCATTTGCTATTTCAAAACTTTTTTTTTCAAAGGGCTGAATGTGAATGTTGGTGACAATGATGGCTAAGATATGTTGTTACTGTAGGAGTGATTAATCTGTTTTGTGAGACTGAATATGTAAGCACTTAAAGGATATGAACATCTGTCTATGAAGTCTGTTTCCCACTGGGCTAAAAGGGTCATTTGGGGGCATAAGGAGAAGAATTCTCAAATTCCTTAAGGGGCCTTGACCCTCACCGCAGAACTTCTTGCAGAAGGCCAGTGCCAAAAATGCCGTGTTATCATGTAAAATCCATTTAATCTTTACCCTGAGACAGTGCCCTAGTATTCCTCAAAGCAAAAACACCTCAAACCCTTTTGCTCTTCTGTACTTCTGAGCTAGTATAAAAGGTACTTGTATTTAAGCAGTGTAATTGTAATATGAAGTAAATGATCTAATATAATACTTTAATCTAAAGCCAGGCTTCTCGTGTGTGAGCTGAAATAACTATGGCCCAAGGGTAATGATTTGTCTTGGATGGCAACTTCTTTTGTTTGGTTAGTCATATTATACTTGGCTGTATTGTCCTACAATTATGATTTCTGGGTTACGCTATTTGCTTTTCCCCCCGCTCTGGAAGAAAGGGCACTAAGCAGTGAACCAAAAGTGAAGAAAATTATGTTGGTGTTTAAAAAACAAACAAAGAAAAACATCAACCTTTTACCATGTCACTTTTTCTCTTCTGTTGTAGCTCGTAAAGCTTTGCATTGCAATGATTGATACTGGGAAAGCATTCTGCACAGCCAACAAGCAGTTCATGAATGGAATTCGAGACCTTGCACAATATTCCTGTAAAGATGCATTGGTTGAGGTAAGTTCTTGAGGTTAAAATTAAAGTAGAAAAGCATAACTTTAAAAGGGCAAAGCAGAACGTTTGGCAAGAGAAATAGTTGAAGTTTATACTATTACTTGTTGCTCGTTTTTCTTTGGAATATACTTTAAGATTGAGCTTTTTTGACTGTGGTGCTCTGCATGTGTCTGTGTTTCATTTCAACTTTTAACCGGAGATGATGAGAATTTTCCAAATCCCAGAAAATCTCTTTGGATAGGAATAGTCATTTTGGGAAGAGTAGAGAAAGACAGTTTGCCGTGGTGAACAGGTTCCCTGTTTACTTTACTAAATAATGTCAGTTCTCTGCAACTGAATTCCTTGAGTTGATCGCTTGCGTTTTGGATCCAGCTCTATCTTAATACACAAAAATTTAGATTTTTAAATGTACAGAGCCAACTTTGAAGTTGTAACCTCAGATTGACATCTCATTAAGCTAATTTGGAACACCTCATATTTCCTGTGTGTTAGTTTGAAATGAAAATGTGTAATATAAAGGTGTAATTATGTGCAGATGTCTGTATATCATGCATGTTTAATGCATGCTATGTTACAGAACGTGAGTCGCATGTATGTGTCTTCACACTGGTTGGCTACGTAATGCCCGTGAACTTCAGTATAGCTCCTGTGTGTGCCTGACACTGTTGTCTGGAAGTGGACTTGGTCGTAACTTGATGACCAAGTGATGACAAAATCCCTAAAACTCATCTTGGTTTTACTTATTATCAAATACTCAATTATTTGATTCCAAGTAGGTTTTCTTACACTTATTGTCGGATAAGCAGTTAGCCAACTATATTAGGGATTTTTTATTTTTTAACTGTTTTTAATTGGGACATTATTTCTACAGATTCATGTTGATGTTGCTAAACATATCAGCTGTGAAGCAGCAGTTCCCACAATAAATGTGTGTTCTGATTATTATGACATTTTAATCGGGTTTTGGAGTTAGTGTTTAATATTAGTGTACTACATATTTATTAATGTTTAATATTGTAAATTTATGTTTTAAAACACGCAGACTTCCCATAGCTTAGTCAACTTAATTTGTATTTTTCCTGCTTTGCTTCAGTTTGGTCCTTTATATATAGGTAGGTAGCAGTAACATTTTTTTTGTTGTTATACATTTACTTGATGATATCCTTGTGTTCTCCTAGCGTAATGGTTTTAGTTGGAATAATCATGCTAAGGAAAATTGATTCTTAAGTTTCTTACCAAACACGGTAAGCACATTGCTTTTGTGCTGTGTATTTAGTAGGACTGAACTTTAACAACTTGTGTATTTTTGCCTATTTACAGACTAGCTTGACGAAGTTCTCTGACACCTTACAGGAAATGATCAATTATCACAATGTAAGTATCATTAGATGAGACAAGACCCTGATATATTGAGTTATATTTAATAGTAGAATAATAAGAGTTTTTTCTTGTTAATAGTATTTGAAAAGTTACTAATTGAGTGTTATTAAATATTCATCATTTGCTGCTTGTAAATGTTTTGTTTGTAATGCATATGGAATATTTATAAATATTCACTTCTCTGCAAATTTTTTATCTTTATTTTTTGTCTGGAATTTGTAAGCTTTGCTGAAGTCCATTGCTGTGCTTGCAGTAGGACAGATGATTATTGGTTTATTTTAATCACACTGATGGGCAGCAGTGGCAATTTATGAGCATGTTTCTTCCCTGGAATGCTGATTATCTTTCCTGTGTTTTCTGCCTTTTTTTGTTCTCTGTAATGCGCAAAACAAAGCACCTCTAATGTTTGTATAGTTTTCTTTTTGGGATATATGAGCAAGTTAAAGTGTAAAGAAAGGAGAAAATACTGGGATTAATGCCCAATAGTGACTTGTCGCATATCAGACTTCATCAGAAAGCTCAGTTTTGCCTGGGTGGAAAACTGACTTTTCCTCCTTTGACAAAAGATTCCAGTTTTGCGTTGTGAAAGCCAAAGGCGTGTGTTCTTTCTTATGTTTTCTTCTCCCTTTGGCACCTTCTGCTTTTCTTTTATTTTCCAGAAAATTGCTGGAAAGCAACTCAGTCATCTCCGAAGTGCTGAAGATATGCAGGGCACTTAAAAATTTGGGAGTGTGGTTTTGGTGTGTGTTTTTTTTTGTTTGTTTGCTTTTTTCCCCACCACTAGGAGCTTAAAGCTGTGGCTTTTTTTCCCCTCATTACATTTTATGGGCCAACTTTAGATTGATGCTAACAAAATTGTTTGAACAGCGTTTTCTAAAATGCACACTTCGAAGGAAGGAAAACAAAGGGAAGTGGATTGATACTGTTGAGTTGGATATCTATACCTCATAATGAAATATAATGAAAATTGTAGAGAGGGAAGTGAGTGCAGAGTGATACTTGCTGCTGGTTACCCTCTTAACCATGTCTTTGCTGTTTGCATGCTCCTTCTGACGCACCTCACCTAGGTCCTACATTCTTACTGTTATTCTTGTGCTACATGATTGTGGCTTTGGCAAAGATTGTGCATATCCCAGCTCTTCCTCTGGGGCAGTTTGAGTGAAGATAGCGAAGAACAAGCCATATTAAAAGAAAATTTTGCATATCAAAGTAGGGTTCTTCTTGTGTCCTGTCCTGCTTTTTCCCTCCACTTCCTTGCTGTGCTCAAGTGTGTTGAGTAGAACAGTGGCTCCTGTCAAAAAGCACAAGCATAAGGAGTGAGGCATGGGATGGGATTCTAAAGTAGGGCTTTGTCAGATTTACGCTGTGACCTGGCTTAGCTTTTTGTGAATCTGCTTAGTTCAGCAGGACTTAATAGCTCAGTGTCAGCTCAGTTGCTGACCATGTTGGCAGGAGAGCCCCTGTGAGTGAGGAAAAGCCAGAGGAAGAAAGGAGGAGGAGCAGGCACCCTGCAGGAAGAGGAGGGAAGGGGTAGGAGATGGTCCCAGTGGGATGTGGGTTACTGTCTCTGTTCTTGTATGTGGCATAGCTATGGAAAAGGCTGAGGACCAGACTGATGTGACATCCTCATGATGTGGCAGGGGGACAGGTGGCTTTTACAGCTGCACATAGCAGCTTTCTCAGACTTGGTTTGTAGCTTGTGAAAGGTAATGTGCTGGAAGGTGTAAAGGTAGTCAGATCATGGGCTGGGAAGTTTGTTCTGTTCCTTTGGGAAAATTGTGTGTATTTTTCTGCCTAATGTGCCCTCCCCCCTGTTACTGTAAGTAGAATTATAAGGCTCATGCTTCTGGGAGTCCAGTAATCGGTGGAGTTGCCATCTGGTTATATTCTTTCTGTATTGATCTTGATTGGTGCACTCCTCAGGCACTGGCAAGCTTAAATGTCAGCAGTGGGAGTAGTCCCAGTATGACTTCCAGCTTGTCAAGAAGTACTTGATCTATTCTAGTTATCTGTTGTGGTTTTTTTTCTGATTTATTTTTCCCCACTAAGTGAAAATACAAACAGGATCTTCAGAATGCTCCTTGTATTGCTGTTAGATAAAGGATAGTTCATGTTAGAAGGGGCCTCGGGAGGTGTCTGGTCCAACTGCTGGCCTCAAGCAAGGTCACCTCAGAGGTTGGAGCAGCTTGCTTAGTGTTTTATCCTGTTTGGTCTCAAGCTTTCAAGAATGGAGACTGGATAGAGGGTATGGTGCCACTGTTAGTGGATGACTTACACTCAGTTGTATTTTTTGACCTTCATTTTTTCTAGAAAGAGGAAAAAAAACAAGCTGTTAAGGATTTTGCTGTCAGTAGTTGGTATTACATGTTCCCCACCCCTCAGATTTTGTGAGTAGGGTGACAAAAACTGAGAACATGTTTAGAGAAAACACTATTGGACTTGAAACTTTGAGTTCTTTACTTGTTCTGTCAATGTTATTATTTAATGCTTAAATCTGTACCCTTTGGAAGAGATTCTGTTCAGTTGGAACAGCTGCTGCTTCCTTGTATTCTTTTACCTCTTCTTTTTTTTTTTTTTAATAATGCAGAATGGGAGGTGTAGAAGAGTGGGAAATGAGGGCATCATTTCAAGTCAGCACAGTGATAGATAGGGAAAGGATTTGTCCTGTTGCCATTGACCTGTTCCATTCTGTCCTGAAATGTGAAAGACTGGTGTAAAGCTGAAGGAACGTGCATTTTCATTTGTTTACTAGGATCTCTGGGGGTGTAAGAGGAAATAATTTGTCAAACGTTCAGGTGTGCTTTGGCCTTGGAAACTTCACAAATTTATCAAACTTTACAATTTGAATAAGTTGATTTATTCCCTTCCTGTTCCCTCAGGCTCCCCAAATCTTAGGGAAGTTGCTAAGAAGCATGGCTTAGAACACTTCAAAAAAGGAGCAATCATGCTTCTTAGCAGTTCATCTGTGGGTGTTTTTCATTTACAAATTTATTATCTGAAGATGTTATTAGTTACTTGTGTATTTTTACATTTTCAGTATCAACATCAATTTTGAAGGGTTTTATATTTTGGTGTTAGATATTGATAGATTTAATAAGAGTTCTTTTCTAATTCTCCATGAAAACCACATGTATTTGTGCTAAAACTGTGCCTCAAATTGCTTTGGTTTTGACCTATGAAGAAAAAAAACAGATCTTCCTGACATTTAAGTATTTAAATCCACTTCCTGATCTTGGGTTAGGCCTTAAGATCTGTCCAGATCTCACCATCAAGCACGTGGTTCAACGTACATGTAGCTCATAAACAGAGGCTGCCCGTCATCTTTAAAAGACAAGAACTGGATTTGAGATATAATGTGGGTCAAAGCTGAGTTGCATTAGTGAACCTGTACAAATAGTTTGCTGTGCCATTGGTGCTGCACTTGAACTTGAGCCTGGGTGCCAACAGAACAGGTGACTTCACAGAAGGTGAGGTACACTCTGCTTTGACATAACTTGCTAGACTTTTTGGTGTCAGCATCTCTGCACTGTGCCAACAGTGTGTTGCTGCAAATGGGCATGCAGCAATGCCGGTTTTGGCACACTTAACACAAACCCATCTTTTTCCAAAGGTATTGTGAAAGATGTTTTTGCTTCACTTACTGTAGTGTTGGAAGATTGGTGCCCAATCCCTCAAAATCCAGATGCCTCTGAGAATTTAAGAAATAATTATTTTTTGGTGTAATATCAAGGTAAAATATTTTTTGCCACGGGTAACTCAATTTTCAAATTCATGCCTTCCTGTATAAACATCTGTGTGAGCTGGCGCAACATTATCAGCCTTATTTTATTGCTCTACTACTATTTCCTTTTTTCTTTTTTGCTACGTAATGAAGTTCTGCAAAGGATTTCAAAGATGTTTTTAACCCTGGATGTGACATAATGTGAAAAAGTATTCAGATTGACACACAGAATAAATTCAGAAGCTATTGTTAGGTCAAGAGTTCTCAATCAGGTGAGAAACACATGGCTTACAAAGGGCTACAGAAAGGATTCTTAAGTACTGTCTGTGCATATCTAAAATGGAAAGTTGTGAGTGTGCCAAAATTACTGAACTACATATTAATACTTTTTCTTTCAGATCCTGTTTGACCAAACCCAAAGATCAATTAAAGCACAGCTTCAGACTTTTGTTAAAGAGTAAGTCAACTTGCACTTGTAATGGGAAAATCATAAAATTGAATTTAAAAGCGTGTGACTTCAGAGAGCTGGTGAAACACTTTTCCTGAAGGCCATCAGCCATAGGTTGAGAAATGTATCTTAAAGTTGGCAAAAATCGCTCGAAATCAGAGGCTTCAAACCCAGCTGCAGAAATGTTGAAATCGTAACATTTTAAGTTATTAATCTTAAATTATGTGCTATTGTCCAGCCTTAGAAAAAAAGTCATTACTAAAGCTTTTCCCTGTGACCATGAGATGCATTTAAATTTCAGTTTTTCCTTTCCCCAAAAGAGGAGGACAGGAAGGCTGCCATCATACTTTGTATGATTTCTATTTGTTATGAGCATTTGTTAAAAGAATGCGAAAACAAAGAAATTAGCTCTAACAGTCACAAGCAGGGTCTGTTTAGTGTTTCTTTTAAACAATTACTTCGTGCTTTGGAATTCATTTGCCATCTATCTTTCATTTTCTTTAGAGATATTAAGAAATTCAAAGATGCAAAGAAACAGTTTGAAAAAGTTAGTGAAGAAAAAGAGAATGCTCTAGTAAAAAATGCTCAAGTTCAAAGAAATAAGCAACATGAAGTAGAGGAAGCAACCAATATTTTGACTGCAACACGGAAATGTTTTCGGCACATAGCTCTGGATTACGTTCTTCAGGTAAGTGCAGCAATAATATTATTTCTTCAAATTTAACAATACTTACCTAAATGTGTTTTGTAAGTCTTCTGTGCTGTAGTTCCTTAAGTATTTCAAGTAATAATAGAATCATAGAATATCCTGAGTTGGAAGGGACCCTTAAGGATCATCAAGTCCAACTCTTGACACCACACAGGTCTACCCAAAAGTTCAGACCAATAATAATAAATAAAACAATAATGAGCTGTAGCCTAGCAAACACAGATTCAATGGATAATTGTGATCTAGAATGTTGTCTATTTCTACAATTTCAGTTGTTTGCTTTGAGTTTTATTTAATAAATCCTATTTTATTTGGAACCTAGCACTTCGTTGTGCCATGGGTGAAGTCAAGAACATTACTGTTTTGCTTTTTAGTGTGGATCTACTGTAGAGTGTTGAGGTGTTCTTTGTCCTACTGTTTTGAAGCCCGCGAAATAATATTTTTGTGGACACTTCCAATTCATGCCTCATGGTTTCCCATAACTCCAGCAGAACAGGACTGTGTAACTCGGACGGCACAAGGGGTGTGAACTCCTAAATGTGTCTGGCGTTCTCATGATCGTACAAACAGAACAATCCTTTTAAAAACTGGTTTCATATTAAGAGTTAACTTGATTTGTGACAGTCCAGATGGTTATTCAAAGCTTAGTTCATGTTTTTTAAATTGTGTATGTCGCCTGTGCATATGTATTGCCTGTGAGGCGGAATTTTCAAAGCCCCTACTAGAGAGGTTGTCCATCTGATCAGCTGGAGTGCGCACAGTGATCAGCCCTGGTTTTGTGCCTCTTGGACACCAAGGACAAAGTTTATTTCAATGTTTGAAAAGTCAGGTAAATTATGTAGCACTTGACTGTACTAACACCATTTCCATGAGTGCAATCGGGCGTCTGTCGTGCTGTAGGAAATGTTAGTGCCCAGATAAGTTCCAGAATCTTAGTGCAAGCGTAAAATGAATTCACCCTTAGGAATCCCTTCTACTCAGATGACTCTTCCGCTGGAAAAGTGGCTTCACAACAGCAGTCTCTTTATAGCTGTATTGACTTTAAATTGTACTTCAAAACCATTGCTTTGCTCTATTTATTTATTTTTGTCCTGTAAGTTGAGGGTTTGTTCTGTACGGTTTTTAATTATTTTTGCTGCAGATGGTTTTCCAAAATACTGATTGTTTAAGTATGGAAGTGCAGTCTGATTTTGATTATAGCTTCAGTAAGTTTATTTCTTCTGCTGGAATCTTTAAACTGATCTAGAGTTGTTAAATTACAAAATTGCACATTTTTTTCCTGTTCCACGGACCTTTTAAAGCAAATGTAGTAAATGCAGGATGGCAACTTGAGAGATTAGGGGACAAAGAAGAATTGGATGAACATCAAAAATAAAATGTCCCTCTTTCTATATAAAGTGAAATATTTCAAGGTTCTAGGGCAATGCTGTTGGTCAGTGACTTCAGCCAGATTAAAAGTGTAAGTATATATGAAATGCTACTTATTGTCAATGTCGCAATCTTGCTTGTTTCAGTGGCTGGGGCTATATCCAAGTTTTAGGACACTTGAGATGGTGTTAGCCCAAGGGGAAATGAGTCACAACTTCCTTACTTGTGGGGCTATAACTGTGGAATTCTAGCTTTGCAAGCTTTTATAACTTTTTTTATTAAATATAACTGCAATGTTATTAAATTAGCATGCATCTTCTGCAGCTTTGAAAGTGCTTTGTGAAATCAGATACTGAGTTATATTTGTCTGATGTTTTAAGCTTTGGTATGATTATTTGGAACGAATCTGAAGCTTACTTCTGTGGGAGGAACTTGCAAATTGAATAAAATAAGCAACTTATTTTTTCTAGATCAATGTTCTTCAGTCTAAAAGAAGATCAGAAATCTTAAAATCGGTAAGATACACTTTGATTTCTGTATTAGAATATATTTAAATACATCCAAAGTTAAACATGTGATTGCAAAGCAATATATGAAGTGAACTTGTCCTGTTGCCCATCAAACGTTACTAGTACAGTTGGCACTTTGTCGTGGTCAGCCTGGCCTTTACTATAACCTCGCTTAGATATTTAGCTGGTTTTTGGTAATCATTATGATTCAGATATGAACACTCAACAAAAAGAGCAGTAAAAACCTAAATAAAGTGTTTAACGGTTAGAATTTTCAGCAAAGTTCAATTTTATTTATGCCTGTTATATTCATTTCTAAACGATAAGTACTTGTAGTCTGCTCTAAGATGGTTTCAGCTCTTTCTACAAAAATGGTGTTTTTGCATAAATAGCTTAGTCAGCTAGTACGTGATATGCTTTAGTATGCTGTCTGCAAAATAGATTACCAGATAAAATGGTGCTTTTCTTTCAAAGGTCTAAAGTTGTATTTAATTTAAATGCTATTTAAAGATAGCAAGAACTTCAGTTGAATTGCAGCTTTCTAGCTGCTTGCCGTTGCGCTCTGCATCTTCCCAACTTGTTTCCTTTCTCAACACTGAACATTCTTCTCAGCTGTGTTGATGGAAGTTACAGTTTTGGATCATTAATATATTCTGTAGTCCTCTCTATTGTACGTGGCCTAATTAAACAGGAGTTAACAAAAGTTTTTTGGATTACAAGAACCAGAAGTAATTTTCTGCCCTTAACTAGCTTTTATTTGTTAATCCCATAACTCATTTCTGAGATTTTTGGCATGGTTCTTAGCTGCCTTTGCCTCTCATGTTTATTTACAACACAGGAAGCTGCACAAGATATTGATGTAAAGCGGCAAGATGACAACATACCAGAAAATAACCATGGAATTTGTTTTGCTCTTTTTTGTTTGGTTTATTCATGTGGATTAGTTAAAGAACATATTTCTGTGATATCTGAAATACTTAGCTTTTTAAATATCTACTTCTTTTCTTCCAGATGTTATCATTTATGTACGCCCATTTGGCTTTTTTCCACCAAGGCTATGACCTTTTCAGCGAGCTTGGGCCCTATATGAAAGATCTTGGTGCACAGGTAAGAAATTACTTTACAGATTCATAACTAGATAATGAAATGGAAGAAAATGTGCATATATCAGATATATTGCAGATTTATTCATTGAAAAGGAAACTAGTGTGATAAAGGCAAAGCATTAAAATACTGAAGTGGTTTGAATTAAAGTTGTTAGTTGTCCTTTTACTAAAGGTAATGCTGCATTTAGGATCTACATACCTAATCATTGCCATATGATGCCACTTGAGGTACTCTGTGGTATTTAGGGCACTGGGTTTTCTTTTATTTCAAAAAAAAAGCGTATTTGTGCCACATCTTACATATTTAACAAGAAAAAAATAATATTTGTTTCCTTCAATTTGTATATGTTATATATTGTGTAAATTGTTTGGTATGTAAAAATTGATGTAAGCAATTTAAAGTTAGACCATAAAACACAAGTCTTATTTTAATAACTGGTGCAAAACTGAGTTCATACTATTAAATCCTTCTTGCCCTGTTCTGTTCTCTAAGAACACATAATTGCAACTTCTGGGTTTTCAGTGAAAGAATCATCAAAACATTGCATGTACTGTGGACAACTGCACAAAAGAGACGGTGAAAATAGTTATGCAAAATAGGTTAGGGACATAGAGTATTTAATTGAAGATGTCTGTGGTGCAGGGAGAAGGCTCAGCAGTGTCTATTGACTTGCTTTCAGTGCAAGTGAGTGTAGCTGGAAATATTTGTACCTTTTTTTTTTTTGCTTCAGTCTGAAGACTTGCAACAACTGCACTGATGTAACACCCTCTGTTTCCACTCCACAACCTGATCTACGAAACAAAGCCAACCCAAATTCTGAACGTCAATCCATATATGAAAGCATATAAATGACAGCAAGCAGATATATTTGCATTTATCTCAAGCAGATATGTTGTTGAATGTTTATGAAATTACATTGTTCTGGCCTGGTTTGAAACAGTTCCTAGTTCTGGCTGCATATTTCTGCCCCATTGCTGTTGTCATCTGTGCCTCTCAACCTGCTTGGGGGGTTGTGCAGTGAAGCAGATGGAGAACTGTAGAAAATTACTACTTAGACATTTGATTGTTGGAGTTACTCTTCTGATAGATTAGGACCCTAATGTGGTTACTATGGGTCTTCATAATTACAATTACTTGTATAGATGCCCGTCAGAGAAGGATATGCTTTTGTGTGTACACGCTTGTGGCAAAGTAAATGATTGCGCTGAAAAGAGGCTGCTTGAACTGGCATCTCCATCAAGAAGGGAAGAGGCTGTTTAGCCGCAGCCCCTTGTGTTTGGTGTACTAATAGCAATTGAAAGGTTCAGGTGCATGTGACTGCTCGTAGCTGACCGTGTTCCTTCACATCCGTCTATTTAGAGTTGTCATTGTTGAACTGTAGTGTCGTGAGAGTATAGAATGTTTCCTGTATCCCTTCAGAGGAGGGGATGTGGAAAGGAGATGAGCAGTGTAGTTGGTAGTGGTTTATGCTACCAGCTAGAGATTACTTGAGTTAGGAGCACAAGGTTATTTTTTAATGGTTCATCATCCATTTGCTTCACCTGGTAAGGAGTGTTGTGTAATACTCATTTTGGTGCAGGTGTCATAGCAACTGAAGGAGCTAAATTTAGAAGAATCCAAAGCTGAATGTTTGAAATATATTGACAGTGGAGCAAAGATAGTGAGTGAAAGCCCTGAAGTCATACAACTTGTTGAATTATTTTCCTGTGGCAGATCTTAGTTTTAAGTAATGGATAGCTTTTCCTACAGAAGCAGACTTGTAAAAAGCTCATTAAAGTTTAACTGTTGATGATTTTGCAGGTTATATTGGTTGAAGTTTCTGTCTTTGAGTTAGATAGAAGGTATGCTGGGACAGGCGTTTGTTAGATTTTTCTGAAAATACTATGAACTGCTTTTGTTAGTGAATTTTCATTTACAGGTAAATGTTGCATACGATCCTAATTGTAAGGTTTAATTGCACATGAAATATTAAAATTAGGATGGTCTTAGATAGTACAATTGTATTTTTTTTTTTGTGCGCTTCCAAAATATCTGGTTCACATGATGGAAAAGAATTGAGCAACTTTGCTTTCTGGATGTTTTAGTCAGGCTGGTATTGTCAATGAGATCATTGTAGGGGAATCATTAATGTCACACCAGTATAATACTCGTCCCAACCCCCCTGCCATGGGCAGGGATGCTACCGACTAGATCAGGTTGCCCAGGGACTCGTCCAACCTGGCCTTGAACACCTCCAGGGATGGGGCATCCACAGCTCCTCTGGGCAGCCTGTGCCAGTGCCTCTCTGTTAACATGAACACGTGAGACTGAAAGTGCTCACGTAGCCATTTGGGATAAACAAGCCAGAGAGAGAAGACTGCAGGAAATTCGCAGAGCTTGGAATTGGAACCATCAGATGGCTGGGAGGTCTGGGGCTGTAATTGTCAGGCTGTCCCGTACAGGGGTGTAAGAGCCAGTTAGCATCCCTTTTCCCCCCCCCCCTCACTTGTATCATTTCAAATGAGGGAAATGCAACACTGAGGAAGATGACCGAGTTGGCAGAGGTTTTCATTTGTGGCTGTAAGAGTGGGTGGAGATGATATAATTTGTGTGTAAATGGGAGGGTCTGTTATTCATATAGTCCTCTCTGCTACATGACTGATGTAGGCTGGAAAACTGGAGTTGCACGTTGTTCAGAGTCTCCTGGTTCTAGGGCTGGAGTAGAATGAGGTCTGCCTCACGTGTGGTGTACAGCTGTGGTAGGTGATGCAGTTGTGCCATTCTCCAGTAGGATGCCATGAGTGGGTATAATGGCACTTGTGCCTTGCAGACTAGGTATAGGAGCAGTTGATCTGATTCTGTAGCGTTTCATGTACAGGCAGCACTTGATTCTCCGCTTCACCGTATTTCTTAGTTAAAAATCAGAGCCTGTACAAACAAACTTACAGTCTGACAGGATGTCTTATTTTTCTACTTTTTATTCTCCTTATGGTTTCAAAAAGAAAAAAATAAAAGGGCAATATTATAGACATGGATGTACAAGTTTTTCGTAGCATCCCTACAAAGTCTGTGATAAGAAAGACAATTTTAATCAAATCCTCTCTGCAAAATCAGATTATTATTTCTGAAACTGGAAGCAGTTGGGTTCTATTGACAATTCCAAGCAATCCTGCCCAAATACTGCTGCTGACTTGATTGAAACCATCAATGCAAAAGCCTGGTTGGGGCAATTCGGTCCTTTTTTCTGGAGGGGGAAAAATCACTAGCATTTGTTCTTCCTAGTTTTTGCTGCTAATGCCAGCAGTGCTGCATAGGCCGGTCAGCCAGCAGGAGCAGCTAAAGCATGAGTCATTCTCTTCAGAGACTGAGCACCAATGCGGTATAGAAGTCGCATATGCTTGGCACCATGCTGTTCTTTCAAACATTCCTCCGAAGGCTTACAAGAAACGTACACCTTTCATAGAGGTTAATTCAGGATGGTAGTGCAGTGCTTTAAACGAGGCTTCAGTGGTTATTAAAGGTAAACACTTTGTGACCAGAGAAGTGATTCTTTTTTATTATGCAAATAAAGCAAGTCATGCAATGTCTAGACATAATGTGTTCTTTTTTTGTCAGCATTATGAAATCTACAGAGCCAAATTTCTTTTGAAATCTAAAGATCCAATTTTCTGTTTCTCTTTACAGCTGGATCAGTTGGCTGTAGATGCTGCAAAGGAGAAGAGAGATATGGAGCAAAAGCACTCCACTATTCAACAAAAGGTACTTGAGAGAATGTAAAGGGTAGACTGCACATACATTTTCCTGTCTCTCGCATCTCTCCCCAGCAGTGCATCTTTGCATTAGAACTGTGAACAGTGTTATCTTTAGTACAGATGATTAGACTTGCACATTATTAAGCATGGGGTGGGATTGCAGATCGTCATTTTTATATTGCAGAACAGGGTATTATGTTCATTTCTGACTGAAACGTAAATAGAGCAGTAGATTTATATGAGGATCCCTAAACATTTCATTAGAACTCTTGAATCCAAGATAGGATTGGAATTAGTATAGTTGTACAAGTTGCTATCTTTTCCTCCTGTATACCTGTAGAAGAGATGTATATACATGCTGCACAGTCCTACAGTCTGATGTATCACTTTCTACACGGATGGTGCCAAATGAATATAGCACTTTGTAGAGTGTGGCAGCAGTTATTGCTTAAAAAGAGGCAAAGTAAACTTTTGTAATGGCTGTCCAATGTATGGTCTTCAACTCTACACTAATATGAAAGTGATAACATTAAGTTGCTGTTTTGGACACATTTGTATGTACAATACTTCTTATTTTTTGCTTATTGAGAAAAATGTAGATAATTCACGTTGTGGGGGGAATAACTTCTATTGTTTGGATGTTTCATAAGCTCTAGATAAGTATTGATTTTGCAGGTATAATGCTAGAAGTTAAAAATATTTCCACTGAACTCTCCGGTAGTGAGCTAAAACTGCAGGTACTTTTGAAAGGGATTAGATACCAGTTTGAAGGTAATGGAATGCTTCTTACTCTCATTCAAATACATTCTGTATCTATTCAGGTGTCATACTTAAATAAATAGATAAATAAATCGAATGTAATTGAAGTCTAAGTAAATTCAGGAATGAAAACATGCTAAGATTTCAATTCAGGTATCATTAGTAGGAATCTATATGAAGGGGGAATGGGAAGGAACTCAGGTTAATGTTTGTTAAAATTTGAAATGGTTTGGGCTCAACAGGGCTAGTTCTAGGAGTGGGCAGTAGGTGGGGGGGTTGCTGTTAGAGCTCTAACAGCAGTACCTGGTGAAAGAAGTTAGTTGTGGGCAATTATGTTTAATTGGCTGTAGAAGTAATAAGTTATTACCATGAATTATGGTCATTGCTGTTGCCAATGATGTTCACTTTTTTTTCTTCAAATGCTGCTTAAGGCTGCTTTACAGGTAAACTGTTTCTAATAGTATTAATAGCTATTGAAACTTCTAAACTTTGTGAGATTTGATAAGATGTATCTGGTGTGTGTGTGTATGTATAAAAATTCTCTTGGTTTCTTGTACAAACAGCAATCATAATGAGATCATTGATTTATTCCGTATTTTAATTGAATGACTATTTTATGCTGTTGCAAAAATATAATCAGCAGATTCAGATTGTATTGTATGTTGTCTTCTAAAGTTGTGTGTTTTGAGTACTAAATGTTGTCTCTTGTCCATGTCAGTCAAGTTACTAATGTGTTTTGTGACGATAATGCCTAGAATACAGCTAGGCTTTGGAGGGCATGCTTATTGGAAATTCCTCTCAGCGCTCCTCCAAATATATATATATTTTTATTTCGTTTGTTATTCAAACCATACTGTCTGGTTGTTTTTTGTCTCTTCCTACTTGCTTTTCCCAGCCTTGCCACCAAGTTCAGAATCTTGAACTGCTGTAGACCTTGGATCTTGTTCTTTACAACATTTTGTCATCCAGTCAACCTGACCAGGATGGCAGCCTTGTTTTTTGTTTTCTTCTCATGCTTTTTCATGTTTCTTTCTACTGGCTGCCCCTTAAGCATATGTACCCAAATCTTCCAGTGCCAAATCCTTACATGTTTTATAGCTACTGAAACTTATGCTTCTTGAGTTGAATATTCCATGAAGTATTTATGCATTTAATATACTGAAGTTTTAATCTGATGCTTCAGAATGATGCCTTTTCTTCATTGTGTGGATAAAGAGCAGTTCCTTTTCTGAAATCCATAGGTAAGTGCCCATGTGCACACACCTACCCACCCACTACCTGTGTTTGCATATATGTGCATATGCATGCAGAATAATTGCACTAATTAAATAACCCATCACACTTTTCTTTATAATCATCATCCTTTTTAATTAGACTGTTAGAGTGGCTAATGTAAAAGTCATGGAAGGGTTTGGTCACCACTATTACTTTGTTTTCTCGTTGAAGATAATTGGTGTCTGATTTCTGTTTTAACTCCTGTGCTCTATTTACTCAGCAACTGTGCAAGATTTTTTTTAGTGTAAGAAACACTCTTTTTCTTTTCCTTGTTTTTCTGAAGCAACACATAGTACGGATTAATCTAGAAATGTTCTTGTTATAGGAATCTTTACCTTGTGTTTCATGAGCAGTTTGATGCAGCCTGTTACTTGAGTAACGTTGAATTAAGAAATAATTTTAAAAGTGCTTGTAAGCATCATTATGGCTTTTTTGTTTTGTGATAGAGCTAATATTTTTTTTCAATAAACAGGGAAATAATGCAGGAAAAACATTTGCTTGGAACTTGAAGTAGTTTTTGTTGTATTCAAATAACTATAATTTAAAAAACAAAACCTCTGTTTCTGAAAGACTGTTCAGGAAACAGCTGTAGTAAGAATGATTCAAAAGCTTCTTACATCTGGAGTAAACAAGGTAATAGGAAACCAGATGCTACCACGGTCATAAAGCAAGCATAAACCCAAACTGCTGTTGAGAAATAATGCTGACAAATTCTTGTCACAAAAATAGACATGTGCCAGTATTTCAAGGAACTTGTATGTTCAGCGATGACCTTGACTTTTTGCACTTTGTCTTAGACTGTAAACTGTGACTTGTGTGTTGTTGTTTTGAGCTCTTCCTCAAGGCGCTTTCAACTTCAGCTTAACCAACTCCTCTTCCAGTTTGCTTATCCTATGGGATGGGAATGGAATTTAAGCTGGGCTTTGCACAGTGGATGTCTTCTGTTGTGCTACATACAGCTGGAGTAACGTTTCAGATTGTTCTTTTCTTTGGTGTTCATTCTCTACCCTTTACTGCTTTTTATATTCTGCTTCTTTAAAGAAAAATAACATCTTTGAATACAAATTTCAAGTAGAATGCTGATACGCTCCCTGCGATTTACTTATCAAATGGCTTGCGTGGCTTTTCTGACATAGAAGTATTCTTCATATTGGAAGTGAATCTGCCCCTGAAAAGCAGGGTTTGTGATGTTTTGGTCACAAGAAAATTAGTAGAGAAAAAAAAAAACCTGTAAGCTATGAGATGACTTGGTGTATGTGCTAAATTGCTAAGTTTGTACAGAAATGTTTGTTCACTGAAAGCTCTTGAGACTACTGTGACCTACAGTTTAATAGCAAATGTGGATTTTTTCTATTGCCATCTGATTTCCTATTCCTTGTGGACATTGTTTAAAAGAAAAAAAGAAGGCATAAAAACACCCAGTATATTTCACTTTCATAAAAACACCCAGTATATTTCACTTCTGCATGTTTCTCTTCCAGTAGTTGGCCAACCTTGAAAAATTAATCAGAACAGAAGCCATAGGTGTTGATTACTTCAAATCTGAATGAAATGCGTAATATTTCACTACAGTATAGCTTCCATACTAATTTAATTTCTTTAGCTAATTAGGTGAAGCATACTGTAGTTCTAACTGACTCCTAATTAGCAAATAAATGATATTTAAAACTCAGCCTTTATCAGCTGTGTGTTTGCTTAAAGAATATAAAATTCTGAGTCACTTAAAGTGACTGGTTTCATTAACATGTGATTCTCTTGTGGGATACTGGAAAGATAAGGATGTATTTCTCTCTGGCCCTGATTATTTTTTGTGATTCATTAAACTTTTCCATGAGCCAAGATAAAAATAAATTAAATGTGACTGCTTTTCCCTGTTCTTTAATTATGAAATAAGAGACTGTAAGATGAGACACATCTTATCTAGTTCCTTTTTCTGCTTTAATCCCTTTAATTGTAATGAAGTTCATTTCTATTCTTTTTTTTTTTCCTGACTACAACCTTCAGTGAAGCTTTATGGATGAAGCTTATGAAAGCTTTAACAATCCCTCTGCTCCCCCCATCTGGTAGTCTATGCATAGTTAGGAAAATATCAAACTTCTGTCTGCATACTGTTATGTCTTTATCTGCCCTGTAAAAGTGCAAATCATTCAGGAGAGCAATTAAAAATAAAAAATAAATGCACTTCATGAATTAGGCTTACTAGTTTGGACTCCTTAGACTGAGAGGGTAGCAAGATAAATGATCCAAAGGAGTTTTCCTGTTCTACTTGTAAGTGTCTTCAAAGCTTAAAAGAGCTTCACTGGAAAAGACCATTGCATTTTCTGCAGAAGTTTTCCGAACATGAAGGAAAATGTGATTACGTGGTAGTTTGGATAGAAAAGACTGAGGGAGTGTATATTGCCTTACACTAGACAAGGAATTGCAGGCAACACTGAGGCAGGAAGATGCAAATCTTTAGCAGGTTTCATTATGTTTGGGAGCTGGTAAGTTCATTTCTGATTTGGGGGTTCAGGAGAGTGTTGATACCAGCATGTAAAAGAAATCTGTGCTTTTGGAGGGAGGGGGTTCTTCTGTTCTTCTTATTTGGGGGTATAAGAGGAAAAATGAAAGGACTGTGAACAGTTTGAGAATGTTTGTGTATATTATAAGTTGTGTAATCCTATGTTAAAATTGTACTGTGACATTTGGCTTTGTGATTATAATAGCCATACATTTTACTACTTAGTCTACTCAACCTTTGCTGGGCATGGTAGCTTTCTAAAAATTGTAAAGCTGTTATTAGCAGTTATTTGTTACTAGATTAAAAACAAACATTGCTTTTACTAGTTCTAGCTTCATATTCTTGTTGCAGATTGTGAAGAAGAAAACGTAACTAGGTGGTTGTCATCTCTGCCAGCACCTTGATTTACTTTAATTTAGGGATAACAAATAAATACAATGCTGTCCAAGTTACTTCTCTCCAGATTTCTGATCTGGCTTACTTGTCATGATGACAGAGCTTAAGAAAATGCTACAAGGCTGGCTGTATACAGTCCTCAGCACCAGGCTGCAGTTCATTTTAAATTTTGACTCAATGCCCATTGCCACTTTTCTCCTACCTTATTCTTCCTTTTCTTTGAAATATCCACAAGATGGTTTGCCAAAGAGGTCACACATACCTGAGCAAGAAATATTCCTTGTGTCTGATGGCTGGATTCTGGCTGCAGATCAGCAAGTTCAGTCTTAATGAAAGCAAGTCTGAATACGTGGAGGGCGGGGTGGAGTTGGAAATTGCTGGTGTCTTTTTCTTTCATCAGCTACAGAGATAAGTTTTGGAGATGTTTGTTTAAATCCCAAATCTAAAGGACAGTAAATACACTGGTAGCATTGTCTGTCTGTTGTTGGCAGTGCTCCTCCTCTGAATCTTTGACTCAGATGCTTTTATATATATATTTTTTTCTCTGGAATGTAAAAAGGTTCTGTTGGACTTCATTGTTGGACTATCAAGTGAAGACCATGTGAAGACTTGATAGTCTTCAAATACTCAGTGAATGTGAAGAATCACAATTTCTTCTCCCCTTATTAAATTCCATTTGTGCGGAACTTGAGGGAGATATTGGAGGTTTAATACATTTGAATGCCTACTTAATGCTTGTCCAGATGGGAATGAGATGACTTGGACCTCTGAAAAACCAGAGAAATCCCACTCATAGTACTTATGCAAAGCTCAGGAAAGATACAAAGACAAGGGCTTTTAATATAGGTGATAATTACCTACAAAGTGCTCCTCTTAGAATTTCAGTAGCTGTCAGCATTTGTTATGTATTAACAATAAATGCTAGGTACTAATCAAATGATAACACTTTATATGGTCATGTTTTTTTAACCTTAACATTTCCTAGAAGCTAAATTGTGTGAAAGATTAAACTTGTTCTCCAGGGTTTAGATAAGTGTGCGCCTCTTTGAAATGCAACTTCTCTGATTCAGAGACAGCCCTTGTCTTCCTTTTGTTCTCGTGCAATCTTTGAGAAAACAGTAAAATAAATAATGCAATCTTGCAATTCCTGGTCTCAAAATAAAAATTATCTCCTGCATCTGATCTCCTAAAAATACTTTTTAAAGAAGTGTTGGGGCTGAGAGTCATAGCATGACTAGTGAATGTTGCAAGCAAAAGATTATTGCTCCAGTACTGTTTTTGACGTTAATGTGGCCAATGCTTGATCTTTTTAATTGAAACTACAATCTGTTTTTTCTTGTCTTGTTCCTTTGTACTAGGATTACTCCGGTGATGATACAAAACTAGAATATAATGTAGATGCAGCCAATGGTATTGTTATGGAAGGCTATCTATTTAAGCGAGCCAGCAATGCCTTCAAGACTTGGAACAGGTAATTACTCAGAACCTCTATTTATTGGCTTTATAAGATGCTGCTTGTTAAGTTGAATTCTGGCCTGACTTATAACCTGTGCAACCCACTGATTCCAGTTCCAACAGTACCCTTGGACTGCTCTGTGAATTGATGCAGGGATGGCACTTCGTGGTTGTTTCTCTTTATTGTCTGTCCTAGTTGTTTGCAAGCCTTTTTCAGGAGCGTACTGAAGTCCTGCGTATAGAAGGCTTGCTTTATCGTGCACAGTCTGGCTTTGTGATGGTATTTTGGCTTTACTTTCGTGTTGAAACAGAGTAATTCTTATGATTGTATACAATATGCTGTGTAAATGTATATGCTGGGAAAATAAGCGTTAGGTGACAATGTAAAATGAAGTTGTATGGCTGTTGTAAGCAGGGAAATGTAGTGAAGGATTGAAGTACTGTGACTTTTCCTGAAAGCATGAAACCGTTTTCCTTTACAATTCCTGTTCTGTGCAGTGACTTCTACTGAGTAGTTTTCATGGTCCTGTTGGGAATTCAAAATATACTGTTACTCTTGTCTCTTTAACAATGTTTGTTTTACTATTGGTTAAATGTTTTCCTTACTGAACAGGATTTCTTTTGCATTTCTAATGGTGTATGCTTTTTTTCAAGGAAACGTTACATATTCTGGAGCATTTACAATATAGTTGGGTACAGTCCTTGAATTTCAAAGTTAGTTTGTCTTGATATAGAGCTTGTCTTATACTCCACATTTTTTGCAGCAGTGTATCTGTTTTACTGTTTTCTGTGTTTCCAAGGCCAGAATCTGTATTCAGATAAGTGGTCCCTTCCAACCTCAATTCCAGTTCAATAATTCTGTGACCATTTTGGAACAGCACCAGTACATAGCAAGTCGGGGTTGTTTCACCTACATCCATGGACTGATGTAAGGGCTGCTGCCGTTGGTAAGGCAGTACTTACCAGCAAGCAGCATGCAGCTCCTCTGAGGGGTTTTGCTTTGGACTACCTCTAGTCTGGTCTGGTGGTATGATTGTCTGTAATGGTAATGATCCTTCTGGGTTGGTTTTGAGTGCGTTTGGAGTTCTGTGAGGCATCAAAGAATGGTGAAGGGAGAAACCTTGTAGATCTGATTGAAGAGCACTTGCCTGGTCAGAAGTAAAGTGTTAGTGTAAGCACACTTTGAGAAAACCCTGCAGTAGCAGGGCAGGAGGCAGGCCTTCACCAAATATTCGGCAGGCTCAAAGAGTCCTTTTTGCAAGGTGTTTTGCGGGGTTGACTGCAGCCTCTTGATAAGTGACTGAAGACAAAACTCTAACTTGCTTTGGGTTCTTCTGTGTATTATAAAGGCTTTGCTCTGTGGGGAGGTAACAGAAGGAAGCAGGACAGCAGTGTTGGAAGGTAGCTGAGAATTCTTTCGACATGGCTTCGTACCTGTTATTACTGTAACTGTATTGTTCTTTAAGACGATTGGGTGTAGGCTTTGATTAAAACCAATTTGTCTATTGAAAATTTAATATGGGCACAAAGGAAGTCATAATTAAATCAAGATATCCTGAAGGAAGGTCATGGTGTAAGTTCACGTGTTTCAACATACTCAATCAAAACATTCAAACAAGAAGTCATTTCAGAGAGCCAAGGTAAACAGCTCAGTAATGACTCAGAGCCAGCCTGCTTCTCACAGACAGTTAATACTTGCTGGTGTTGTGGTTTAACCCCATCAGGCACCAAGCACCACGCAGCTGCTCACTTGCTCTTCCCAGGTGGGATGGGGGAGAGAATCAGAAACAACTGAAAACATCTGTACTGTCACTGCTATTTTCATAAAAAACCCAAATGCAGCACCACACAAGCCTCTACAAAGAAAAATGACTGTATCCCCAACAAAGCTATGAGAGCTTGTATTTTTTTCTATTTCTCACAAGACTGACAAACTAATTTATTTCATTGTGATAGGCTAGATGGATGTGTCAGAATTAAGCAGTGGACAAGCCATCTACATCCATGGTTTAAAAAATGAATGAATCATTTTAATTTTGTACTTCTTATAATTACAAACCATTACTAATTGTGAAACTTATTACTATTATATTAAATCAAATAAGTGACCTTAATGAAGACAACTGTTATCTGAATCTAGCTTCATTTTTCACATTTTATTAAAACCAGAAGTTTTTTTAACCTATTTTTATTTCTGAATCATTTGTAATTGCTTGCTACGTTGTAGGCACTGAAGTGGTCATTGCCTCTTTCCACTGCCCGTTTCCCCTGACGGAATGCTTTACTTCATAGTACTGCAGCTTCACCTGCGTGGAGATAATACTGGCTGAAGTTTGACATAGAGCAGAGGCTAGAGTGTACTTCCAGCCACAGGAAGGACTGTCACTGCTTTAAGCTGTACTGTGCATGGAAACGTGCAGTGAAATACCAACAGAGGAAACATTTAGAGAATGATGTATTTTATATGACGAATTCAGAGCTGAAATCTGAGGCCCCTGATATAGACAAGATACTTGTCTAGTGTTCTAGTCAGGTAGGTAGCTTGCTTCTTCATTATATGCCCATCTTTGAGGGGAAAGTGAGGGATGTAAAATAAATCAGCTGAAACAAAACTAGAATAATTCATCTAGAAAGAAAAACAGGAGTTTCCTGATATTCTGAACCAATGCTGATGGCACTCATCTTCTTGCTAACTGCTGCTGGCAGTGCCAGTTACAATACAGTACTTTCTTCTCTCTGTTGGTATTTTGATCGTTCTAGGCCTTTCAAAATACACCTTTACAACAAAATTAGGAAAAGGTATCAAAAATCATTACATTTTTTCACAATTAGTGCATAATTGCCAGCATTAAAAACATGAGAAAAGGAAGTGGTGCAATGAGTTTTGCCTGGCTTGGATATGTCATTATGATTTTAGATAGCGTGATGCTTCTCTGTGCATGTCTTGGTATGGGAATCCATAGACACTGTGGAGGATTTTAATGGGAAAAGTACAATTGCTGTGGAGAGAAAAGCTTGAAACCAGATAATGCAGACCTTTGAAGAAGGACAAAGCTGTTCTAATTTATCAAAACTCGTTTCCAGTCCAAATTAATTTCTTGCTAGGATGATGTAGGGTTTGTTTGTTCGTTTATTTGGTTTTTGGACAGTTGTTAGCTTGGTTCACTTGTCCAAAGACTTCAATTAATTTGGACATTTGTGTCAAGTTTCCTAGTCTCAGGATAGTTCGATACACCGCTGGGTTAAGAAACAAATGGTTTGTGGGGAGGTTACCAAGTAAACCATGAGAGCTAATTGTCATTTGATGTTGCTTTGTATTGAAAGAGGTGGAGATTTTAGAACCCTTTTATACTGTAAATGTAACATGTAAGTTTGTATTTCAGATGAGATGTTTTAGTGGAAAGAAAATTAAATCTTTATTAAAGTCTTTACTGCGAAGTCTTACAGCAGCTGTTATGGAGACGTTTTTGGTTGTATACTTCTCTGTTGAAATGACATCTTATTGTACACATTATTTCTGGATGTATGAGAAAATTAAATCAGTTGAATTTATTATGGAACAATAGGTTAAAAAAATACCTTTGGTTCTTAGGAATTCGGATTAAAAAAAAGTGTGTGTGAATAAATGTATGTGTGGGTAGAGAGCTGGTGTGTTCTGCATAGATTTTGGGTTGGTGCATTAGACGTTTTCCTTTTTAATTCTGCTGTATTTTCAGATCATGCTAATTCTTTGCTTATTTTGCTCATTTTGCATTTTTCATTCCTCTTCCTCCTTTCCCTTATGTTTTAATCCTCCCCCATTTTTTCACATGACAGGAAAAAGCCAGATCACATCAGGTACCAACCAGCTTCTTTTATACCTTCCCAATGTTTCTTTGGCACGCAAAAGCTCTAAATTAACCCTGCATTTAATTTTGATTACTTGCAATGGATGTGAAGTGGCTCAGTCTAAGAAAATAACAGAAGGATTCTGCCTGGGACACCAATACACCTGCTGCTCAATGCTTTCAAAAGAATTAGTGAGGTTGAGCTGGTTTTAGCTAAAAAGGAATTAAAGCAAAGTTTATGCACTCAAACTTCTGAGCATATGAGATCAGTGTCTTGACTTTTTGTTTCCTTTGTACATTGGTGGGATTTTTCTCACCAACTGCATTGGAAATAGAAATGTAACTTTTAAATGTTGTGCATTCTTAATTGCTGCTTTATTTGTATGCTTATGGCTGTGAAGAAAATGTTTACTGATTTTTCAAAAGGAAAACGTGGTTCAATTATTATATCAAATTCAAATAAATATTTTTGTTATTACTTCTCTCAGTTCTCAGAAATTTGAAATGCTTTTTAATGAATATTTAACAAACACTTTTTTAAATTGTTAGTGTAAATGACAGAAAACGTGTCGTTTCTAAACCCAAACAACTGTATTTAAGTACTGCTATAAACTCAGTGGGGCAGTGCAAATTACTTCAAGATTTCCCAGTGTGTTTTCTTTCACCATGCTTCTCTCCTATTTTGACAGAATGTCACATTTAAGGAAACTTTAATAACTTTTAGTATTATACCATGTGTGCTGCCTAAAGATGCATGAACACCAAATCCTAGCACAGGCCATGGCTATAGTGTACCCCACAGCAGCACCTCCAGTACCTGTGTTATAGCTCAAAGGTTTCCTGCCTGTTACTGCTGTGAGCTCCAAGTGCTCTGTTTCGTACAGTAAAGTTTATGAACTATTCCAAATTTAGAAAATATCAAGTTTTTGGCCCGAATGAAATTGCTGTGGTGCTGACATTTTGGAAGGAAGGCGCCACTTCCTTTTTTTAAAGAGTACAATAAAGTGTATTAGCTTTATTTTCCATTGAAGTCTACTTCAAAATTGAGAGATATAAATTATGCTGTGCTCTAAATTATTTATCATGTTCAGTAAAAATTTCTTTAAAAAAAAAAAAGAAACAAAAGTCAAGAAGTGACACACATACACCAATGCTTTTTGACTGAACTTGGCAACTTTTCTTAAACAGATTCCGTTTCTCTAGTGGAGGTGGGGAAAAAAGGGGCCTGGAATACTTTGAAAACTTCTAGACTAGGCTTTAAAGATGACACAAACTTGTACAATTTGTTATGCTTGTTTATATCTGGTATGAAAATGGAGCTGATTTTTTACTTTAGTAATTTGCTAAACGTTTGGCTTTAGAACAACTGAAGTATGACATTAATGAAGTAAATCACGCTAATCTCAGTTTCAGAGATAAGCTCCATTGCATGTTATCTTGGGGCAGGGCTGCTTTTTTTTTTTCTCCATTGTAACTTAGGCACTGCTTTTCATGTTTTTATTTTTCCATGTTCTTATCTTTGGTATTAAGTTTCCATAAAATAAAAACCAAATGCCTGGTTTATTTTCCTTTTCCAGTCTGCTTTTTTTTTTTGTTGTTGAATTACCTACTTAAATCTTGGCAATTACCTGCCTTATCTTGTATCGGAGGCTTAATTACTATATATGTTTTTTAAATAGATAGTAGAAAGGATACCTTTTAAATAGCAGTGACCAAAACTACTGTTGTTAGTCAACTGAGAATTTGTTTTTGCATAATTCTGCTCAATTATTTTAATCCAAAAAGATAACAGCTATTTTGACATAAATCCAGTATAGAAAGAAGACTCTGTTGTTACTTTTAAATGAAACATATCTGCACAACATTTTAAAAGAATACCTGTTAAAAGGTAGAATCTCATCTGTCTACTACATACTAACTTTCCTAACAAACACTAGGTTTTCTGATTTGAATCTAACTTTAGTAATTTCTTTCCCTTTGTATTTTCTTAACAATGTGCAATGTGTGTGCTTCTTTTCATGGATGGCTTGTGGTGATTGAATAATTATACGGAGCCCTCTTGTTACTAATTTTAGTGACCTGCAGCTTGATATTCACCAGTTTGTACTGCACCATATCTCATTCTCAGCGATGTTTTGTGTACTGTTGCCACTCAAACGAATTGGCAGTGCAGGAGAAAAAGCAATTTGCAGTACAAATGGGAAATTTGAGGTAACTGAGCCATTATGTTATGGTAAACAAAGGCTCATGTTCTAAGCTTGAGCAAAATAAATATGCGCCAATCTCACCACAGGACTGAATTACTTTTTGCATTCCTGTATTTTTTGTCAGTTCAAAACCAGTGACTGATGAGCTTCTATTTTGCACATCCCCAGGAAAGCTAAAAGGGGATGGTTGTATTTGCTTTTTTAAACCTTTCTGTGCTCTGATTAAAAGCAGTTGTTCTGGGTCTGAGATGGTCAGAAGTTTTCCCAAAAAAATTAATGGTTTTTCTGTTCTCTTTCAATTGCATCCTATCTGAACAGGAGTTTGACAAGGGATGATACAGTTCAGAGGATTTTTTCCTGAAGTGTTATCTTTTGGATTTTATAAGATGCCTTAATGTTTTTAATAGTTTCCTATAAAGCGGAGGCTTAACTTAAGATCCTACTTAAAAGGTTCCATTGTTGTTTTATGTTTATATGCATTTTTTTATCTAAAATTTTAAGAAATGCCAGACAGAGAGAAACTTGCATGGAATAGTAACAGTGTAGTTTTTTTCTAATGCCTTGGTAAGTTATTTCTTCTACTGAAAATATTTAAGGAGTGAGTAGTTTGCAAAGTTTCTTATTTAAACCATCTGAATTTCTATTATCAAAACACTTAAAATTGTAGCTTGCTGCTAAAATACAGAAGTAAATGTTCTTTGAAATGAAGGTGTTGTGTATGATAGCTTTACTAATGTTGCCGTAACACGAATGTACTTGTTTAGGACTTGAATTATTTGAATCCTTGCTTCCTGTTCTGTTTTGTCTCTGCTCTCCTTCTTTCATTAGTCTCATGAAATACTTGTCAAAACTGAGTGGCGTTACTTCTGTGAATTCTTTTTTTTTCTTACAGTCTCTAAGTAGACTGTATGCTAGCATATTTCAGTCAATTAAGTGTGAAACCAGTTACATATTGTTTGGATGTCTTTTTATTCTAATAGGCGCTGGTTCTCAATACAAAATAACCAACTTGTGTACCAGAAGAAATTTAAGGTATGTATCAAAATTTGTCTCTAGATAGTTTGGTGTGGGTGACGGTATTTCTGACATGCGGAAGCTAAAACAGAGTGCTAGCAAGGATGACCTGTATGGTCTTGAACAACCTACTTCATTTTCAAAATTAATTTATTTCTTTGTAAAATGAGATTAACACCTGGATTTACAGATTTTCAGACTCTTGCACAGGGATTTGTAATCATATAGTTCATTTAATGCATTTTTGTTACCTTGTTACAGAGAAGACTTAACCAAGAGATTTGGAAGTTGTTGGTCCCAAAAGGCTTGTACACGCTTGCTGGCAGACTAAATGCTCCGTGCTGTTCTGTTCGAGTCCTTAAGGACTTGCTCTCTCCAGTTACCGGTCTTTTATATCCAATTTTGTGCTTGGAGAGAGAGGAAAATAAAAAGACATAACTGTTTTGTAACACATACTTTTATGGATGCTATGTACGTGCATCTAATACTAAACACATCAGGCAATTCAGCAGTTGATGTCTGTCTGCCTTTTTGCCAGTGGCAAAGTACAATTGTTATCACTGCTGTTGTATACAGCAGCAAGAGCAGCTCTGCCCAAGCCTAAAACCAGCTTTTTCAATCAACCTTTGGGCCCATGTCCCTTTGATTTACTGTTCTAGAATCAATTTGTTGCCACAAGGCTGTAACTGTCCTTGATGTTTTTTTTTTTTAAAAAAAAAAAAAAACCAACTAACAGAGAACTGGGTGAAGAAGAAAAGCAAAAAACCTTATGGTGATTCAGTGTTACCAGATCAGGTTCAGAGCCTGTTATCTGATGATCTCAGATCAGGAAATGAGATCTTTGTTTTTGTGGTTGACAAGGAAGCAAATGGTTGAATTTGTGTTAGCACGTTTTAGGCAGTTTGTGTTTATAATTTCCAATTACATTTTGATATGTTTTTATATTACAAAAGGAACCTTTAAAATGCCATTAGCTTAGAATAGATGTCTTCTGATTTGAATCAAACTTTCAAAACCACTGCATCCCAGCTTCTGTATTTGTACCTGGTACTGAGAACAGCTTCTTTTGGCGTAACCTTTCTGATTTCTTTCTAAGTTATGCCCTGAGAAGAGAAAAAATTACCTTTGAGCTCCTTTGAATGTTGTTGTTTAAGGTGTTGATTATTTGATAATTAGATTGCAGATCAAAAGGCATCATCTGAACTTTCACAAAATATAACCAAGCATGAGAATTGAAGTAAATATTTATTGACAAGTATGTCTAATACCATTTATTTAAAAAAAAAAATCTATGGGAAAAAAATCTGTAAAGCAAGAAAGTAAAATGAAACGAGAAGTAATTTGAGAGTATTAGCAACTGTTTTGTTTATCTGTGATGCCTTTATTTTCTTTTTTTTCTCTTAGGATAATCCCACAGTAGTTGTTGAAGACTTGCGGCTTTGTACGGTTAAACACTGTGAAGACATAGAAAGACGTTTCTGTTTTGAGGTGGTTTCTCCAACAAAGTAAGGAGAAGTGGTGGAGCACTTGTTTACTTAAAAAATAAATAAATGAAATTACACTTGGTTGCTGTGAAACACAAGATGAATATGTCTCTTGGGACAAACAGGGAAAATATCTGAACAATTCTGTTCTCTGAAACTTTGGCTAAGAGTAACTGGTGCTGTGAGAAGTATTCCTAGTATTTAGTTTACTTTTGGTATTAAAATAAACATGTGTTCTTGTGTGTTATGTATAAATGGCTTGTGGTCATGGAGCTCTTGTGGCTAAGTGGTAGAAAATGTGTAGTTCTGCTCCACACAAGTAGTGTGGCTGGTAGTGTAGACAATAGTTCGGCTTCTCTAAACTTCTAATCAAGATAATGAAAAACAAACACAGAATGAGTTGTTGAGTCAGCAACATTAAATTACATTTCAGAATGCACTAAATGAAACTACCAAATACAAATATTTTGGGGTTCTGGCAACATGGTGCATTAGTTGTATTTTGGGTAAGTATGGCAGTTCCTGCTGCAGTCAGGGCAAGATTTTTTTTTTTTTCATTAACAGTTTGAGTGTGGTCATATTTAAGTTTTTGATGCTGAGTCAAACTTATTTTAGGTTCTGGTGTATCTATACTTCCCAATCCTTATTTTTCTCCTCTTAGTAGAGAGCTGTCCTAATGTTTGCATCCTTGCCTGTGGTTCATTAATATGTATTTTGCTCCTGCTTGCCTCTTGTTTTTCAGCCCATAAGTGTTGGAACAGCTGTACACTTCATGATTTGTTTCCTTTGGCTGTTAGTGTCAAAAGTAGTTCTTAGAGAGTTTCAAAATCATTTCATTTTGGTGAATGAACTGTGTTTTCCAGGGCTGATAGCTGCATCTTGTGTAGGCAGTCATGGAGGTAAATTGTATGTGAGGATATAAACATGAAAAATTTGGAATTAATAAAAAAGGGAACAGCAAGTTAAGCTATTCTCTGGGTTACTTGAAGAGTCATGTATTTTAGTATTACCTATAAATAGTTTTGAAACAATAAATTTGTGGCCAGTTGCATTGTTATATGAAAAGAAATGGATACTAAGCATTGCATACTAAATAGTGTACTTGTGCTGACAGCAAGAGACTTGGACGTGAGTCTGAATTATATTGAACAGTGTGTTTATTGCTGCTTGCTCAGTCTGATTCTGAGTGCATATGTGATTCTTCACAGAAGCTGCATGCTTCAGGCTGACTCAGAAAAGCTGCGGCAGGCATGGATTAAGGCTGTTCAGACCAGTATTGCTACAGCATACAGAGAGAAAGGGGATGAATCTGAGGTGAGTTTAAAGATCAAGCATTTCTTTTTGAATTTTGAGGATTAAAAATAGAGGAAATATCTTTTTTATGAGAACTGAAAAATAATCCATTTGCTGTCTCTTTCAGTGTAAATGCAATGAAACTTTGTCAGTAATTGTCTAATCTATCTTTCACTCCATCTTTCTAATGGTACTTCGGCCTGTATGTTTTGATGATTTTTTTTGTAGTGGGATCAAAATTTATAGGATTATAGGATGCTGTTATACTTAGTTCTATATTTCTTCAAAAAAGGTTAAGAATTTCTTTTCAATTCTGTGGCTTTCTTTGGCTTTAAATGCAGAAGCTTCTCTACGATTCTAGCGCACAGTCAGGATCAGCATTTGTAGGATCTTTTTCTTAAATTTTGTCTTTTATTTTGTTTCTTTTTTAGAAACAGGAAAAGAAACCATCCCCTTCTACTGGAAGCTTAGAAACTGGCAGCGAGACAAAAGAGAAATTGTTAAAGGGAGAAAGTGCTCTACAGCGAGTTCAGTGTATTCCTGGTAATGCTGCCTGCTGTGACTGTGGTTTGGCAGATCCTCGCTGGGCCAGTATCAACCTAGGAATCACGCTTTGTATTGAGTGCTCTGGGATACACAGGTTGGTTGGCTCTTCAGAAGTATATCTGACTTACACATTGACTTAATGTGTTGTTGGCCTCTTAAAGTATGTATTAAATGAAGATTAGAAACCCTTTTTGTAAACAGAGTGAGGGTAACTGGTTTTATTTGCATAAACCAATGGTAAAGCTATCCGAGGTGAGACATTGCATGCAGTTACTAGTTTGTTTTTTTTCCTCTTTAGGAGCCTAGGAGTCCACTTCTCAAAAGTAAGATCTTTAACACTGGATTCATGGGAACCTGAACTGCTAAAGGTATGATAATTTTTTGAAATGACAGTTTCTACTTAGATTGTTGTTCTACAGCCACGACATCAGAATGTTCAGTGTAGGAAAAACTTGCATTTGTAACCAGTGTATGTCTTGTACTTTTGAGTAGAAAATATTTATAGTGGTGTGTGTTTTGTTTGTTTGTTTTTATTGATACATTCTTATGCAGCCTGCAGTATTAGTAGTCATTTTTGATACAAACTTGCAAGCCAGAAAGCCTTATGCTACTTTCAGGTTCACAAATACCCTTTGAATAGTAGTTTAGTTCATACTGGGAGGTGGGAGGAGGGAAGCAAACCAAACCAAACCAAAATACACCCCACATCTTTTCCTGTTCATTTAAATAAAAGCTGAATATTTTACCTGCTATCAGAAGCAAGAAATCTCTTTGTTGCCATCAGAAAGTCAGTTTTCATGGACTGAGCTCACCTAAAAGTAGTATCTGCAGAATGCTTTGTCTTTGATCATATAGATGTAACTGTTCGTGGTTCAGCAAAAATGTACATTAGACCAGTTGGAACAGAACTGAGGAAATTGTGTCTTGCCAAATAAGGATTGGGATAAGAATAACAGCAAAGCTGGTGGAAAAGAATGTCTTTGTTGATGAGGCCTGCAAATGTCATTCTAATTGCAGAAAAAAGGATTCTTCAATGACAGATACATTTTCGTAATCCCCTCTGTCGCGTTAAAGGGGTGTAGCTGATTAACCGTTACGGGCCCGGTTGGATTCAGAGTACTGAACCAGTCGGACATTCACCAAAACTGGGGGTCCGTTCGGACATTCACCAAAAACGTATTAACCACCTGGGGGTCCGTTCAGACATTCACCAACAATGCATTAACCGTCTGGGGGTCTGGTTAGATTCAGAACACTGAACTATCACGGATAACCACCCTCACCCTAGTTGCATTAATGAGAGCTATCACAATGCAATCAAGTATGGTTTATTACAGCAACAGATAATCAGGTTCTTTTGGATTGCCGGTGATAGTGACTATCTGCAAAAGCAAGCTAGTATGCATGAAATACACAGGTGTTACAGGGGTTCCAGGTGCGGGTTCCAGGTGCGGGTTCCACGTGTTCCACGTGTTCCACGTGCGCAGCCTAGAAATAAACGCGTTAAAAGGATCAAAGACTATAGAGATTTATAAGCAAATATTCAGATCTCACCCAAAGGCGTCCCAATGGGGGGGGAAGAGAGGCTCAGCCTGTCGACTGATCCCAGGAGTCAGGAGGTCCTAAGGATGTTGTATGTCCTCGGGATGGTATCTCCCCTGACGATGGTATCTTCCCTAACATCCCCTCTCTCTTGGGCCAATTTATATTATTTTCTGTCTTTTAGGTGGAGCTTGAGTGGCTCTAGTCAAGCATATCTTAGTTATGATTGGTGTAAAGTTTTCCCGTCTCCGTTTAAAGTAATAGGCTCCGAGAAATTCAGAGCGCATGCTCAGTGAGGGGTGGTCGCACCTTGGAGGCGGGTAGCTTTTGGGATGGAGGTGTGTTTTGGTATTATAATGATATTATAATGAGCAAAAAGTACACTAGGGTACAGCATTTGTCAAAACATGACAGGTCTTTGGCTTAGGGTGGCAAAAAGTGCAGCTTTGTGCACAAGAACAATCGAGGCCCCACCTGATCACAGAGCCTAGCCGTGGTGTCTCCACTCCACTCCACGCTCCGTGGTGTTCCTTAGAGCTAGCACACCAAGTTTCCCCAGCGCGATAGCATCTAAGGTTGGGAGCCTAGGGAATGCTCAGATAATGCAGTTATGCCCTACCCTGAAAGCCTCTTCAAAGCTGTACCTTTTCCTTAAAAACGTGAATGTTAGTTCTATTTTCCTAGTTACTTCAGGCATTTACACCACACCCTCTCAGATGGGAATAGTACTTTACAATAATAACTGTATTTTTGTTATCTTATTCTGAATTTGCTCCCTTTATTCACTGATTGTTTCATTGTCATGAAATAAACCCATGCTTATTTTTGGAAGTGGACTTAGAAAACTCAGTGAAAACACAGCTCAGTGAGTTGGGAAAATAGGCTGAGTGAGGTAAAAACAACTTAATAAGTAGATAAAGCCTTTTGTAACTGTGTTTGAATTTATTTTGCTTCATAGCTTATGTGTGAATTGGGAAATGATGTCATAAATAGAATATATGAAGCAAAGTTGGAGAAAGTGGGAGTGAAGAAGCCACAACCTGGAAGCCAAAGGTAGTAATATACCTAGATTTCATTTGTTCATTATAGTCATAAATGGCATTAAATTGAATGATTTGCATCATTATTTAATATAAATGCAAATGATTTTTTTCTTCTTAGTACCTGATCTCTTATTTCTTCTTTTGTACCACTGCCTTTCTGGGATATACACCTTCTGTGGCTTTCAAATGCTGCATGATTATCTTTTGGGTCAATGCATTCCTCTAGTGATTAAAGGTTTTTGCTTGTATAAGCTAGCAGTCTGTTCTCACATTGTGTTTGTGTTACCTGCTTCTGCCTCTTCCCATTCCAGTTTTATCATTCACCTGTCTGCTTCTCTAAAAGGGGCCTGCCTTTCTCCTCACGTGTTTTTGAGTCCACCTGACCTAGGGTTGGGTTAAGTTAAAGTTATCTTAATTTCCATTCTAGCTTCAGCTCTCCAGGCTCTGTAGATTTTGGTTGGTACCATTCTTCTCTTGGTTTACCTTGTATATCCCACTGCTTGTTTCACTTGCTGCTATCTATACTTCATTCTTAAGTTTGACTTTTGCTCCCTGATCCCCAGTATGCTCTTTTCTTTATTCCTACATTGCACACAAGCTCTATTTTACAACAACCTTCTAATGACTATACACTTGTCCGCAGTTTCTGTTTGATGTTAATTTGTTTGAAGGTAGTTTCCTAACGTTTTGTTCTATTTTAAAGGATAAGTCTTTTAAAACATTTTTATTAGCTTTCTAGTTCTGTGCTGCTTGCTGTCAAACAGTTTCATGCTATAGAAAGCCATGATTTATAAAGTGCTAGCAATTTGGAGACAATGATAGCATTAATACTGTAGGAGATTTGCTAGCTGATACTTCTAGTGGTAACTGTTTTTCAGTGATTTCAGAAATAGTACTTTTATAAGTGCTTTCTTCATTGTGTCAGAATTGGTATGTGCCGTATGATGATAACCTTAGGTTTCAAGGAAAAATATCTCAGCATTCATTATGGTAGTTCATTTGGTGGTTGTACCTACCTGGGGCTTTCATTACTGTTCTCTTATGCAGTCTTGATGTTCCTTTAACAAATGTTTTTACTGAAGAATTTAAATATATGCTATATTCATTAGTTATTAAAGGATTAGTACTAATAGATAACATGTGGTGAATAATGTTTTTCTTCCACGTACTGCTTTCTAGAGTCTCTGCCTGAAAGAAAATGGACCTATATGAATATAACACTTTATTTTAACATTTAATTCTTAACTTTTCATAAGCTGCTTTTGTTTAAGGCTTATGCAAAATTTAATTAAGAATCCAAAAGAATCCAATATAAGAAATGGATGTTCTTATAACATAGGAAAATAATAAAATATGAGCTTACTAACTCCTAACATTTTGTATATGACAGGCAGGAGAAAGAGGCGTACATCAAAGCAAAATATGTGGAAAGAAAGTTTGTAGAAAAGCAGCCTGTAGCAGCTGTATCTCCACTTGAGTCTGGAACAAAAGTTTTGCCTCCAAGTCAGGAAGAGAAAAGGCACAGTGCCCCTGAAAAATCTCTTTTGGCAGGGGAACAAGGTGTGGCATCCCCCAAAGGTATTTACACACTTCTCTCCTTAGCTATGTTATGCATGTTATCTTAAAAGTAATTCTTTGTATTTTCTGCCTCATGCAGAGAAATCAAATCCTTCTTTTAATGGGTCATATCCTAGTTCAGAAGTACAGGGAAGAAAATCGTTGAGCAATGTGTACTTCTGAGATGGGAAGTGGAGTGTGTGGAGTGGGGGTTCTTACCATTCAGAAACATATTAACCACTTTCTTTCCTCCGTATTTCCATCCTTAATTTTTCCAATAATGTTCTTTCCTGCCCTATCCCTTCCTTACTGCCTGCTTTGTGCTTTGCTAACTTGCATGTCCCAGCGGTTGCTGTAATTAGCGACGAGGCGAGGCGGGAGTCTCTGTTCTGTCCTGATGAACTAGATTCACTCTTCTCCTACTTTGATACCTCTTCAAAACTACGTAGTAGTAAGTACTACAGCTATGGCATGTTCAGTATTTGCACTAGTGACCCATTGTGTGTTGTGGCCATCTCCCTGCTTTTAATCCATTGTCTCCAGGCTACTGCATTGCTTTGTGTTTTCATGAAATAATTTAAGCTTTTTTACTTATCCTGATCTTCTAACTTTCTAATAATCTTTCACACTATTGTTACAAATGTTATGGTTGAAGTATGTGACTTCAGATTTTTTTTTTTTAATAATGAATAATTACTGGTCATTGGGAGGGGAAAATAATAAAGACGAATTCAGGACCAAGTATAAGAGCTTGCTTTATTGTCATGTCTGTGAAACGTAGGTAAGTTACGGTCTGCATAGTAATTCCCATTTTTCCCCCAAACAGTAAGAAGCAGTGACAGTGGGATCCAGCAGAGTGCTGATGACAGCAGAGAACACCTTGCCTCTACTATATCAGCTAACAGTTTGTATGAACCAGGTACTCTAGGCTTCATACTTTAAGATGAAGATTTAATCTTTTTTTTGCTAGCATGTTCATGTCCAAATGATATGTACTTGATGATAATGTTCACCTCTCTTCTGTTCTGGTGTTCTGAAACATTTTAACAAGGGTAGTAATTGCCCGAGTGACCTTTTTTCTCCTCCAGACTTGGTACGGAGAATGTCATAGAATCCTCCTAAATAAGTTCAGAGAACTTTTTTAGTCAGATGGTATTGAGCCCAAACTTAATTTTTTAGTGGATGAAGCAGTGCTTCATTTTACTATAGAAGTGCCTCCAGGGAAATTTATAATAATTTCATAAATGGTTAAATATCTGGAGAAAGAATTCCTGTTAAGTCACAGACAATAAACATTGCATGTTACTTGAATGTCTTGCTTAATTTTTCAGTCTCCTATTTACATTGAACTGACCATGCCCTTAAACATTACTCCTCTTTACTCAAACTATAGAGTGATAAAATTATGTACTATTATTATTGTCCTGGGCTGACGGATATATGGACTATGGCTTATCAAAATATCCAAAACAATTACAAAGCAAGCTTATTCTAGTACATCACAGCGCTCTGAGGTACATTTTAAATACAATAGTTCACAGCTGTGGTTTGTAGGCAAGCAGCATGGGGCTTAGATCCTCTGACTCTGATCCTCTGTAGAAACACTTATGATGCTGTAACTCATGAAAGCTTATATGTAAAAATGTTTTTACTTCCCACACTCCACTCTGTATTACTCTTTTCAAGATGAAAGATTATGCTGTAGTCCAAAGGACTATAGCCCCAGCATGTAACTGGTATGTGACAATAGTGTCTTTTAATGAAAATTTTTAGAACAGGATTAGCCTCATTATATATTCAGGCATATCAAACTGTTGCAGAAAGATATATTTGTATGACTACATCTCAGCAGGCAATTATCTGTATTCATATCTTCCAGTATGGGACAAGATGCTTTTCTTGGCTAATACCATTTCTTAGAAATGACATGGAATAGGTAGATTGAAGGATATTCACACACACCAGTAACATGGAGGGAAGGTTTCCCGGGCAGTAATAATTCTGTGAAGTGTCCGTGCTTGAATGCTGGCACAAGCTAAAGGTGTATGTGGTGACTTCTGGCAAAGTGCAGAGTGTTTCGCAAAGTCAGAGCTACCTTATGCCAGAGAAGTTATGTCTTTGGTCACAATTCTAGGAGGTACCTTACAGAAGCAGGAATTACAGGTAAGCAATGTATATATTTCTTTTTCCTTTCAGAAGGAGACAAGCAAGAGTCTTCTGTGTTCTTTGACTCCAAACAGCTTAGTCCAGGGTTGCAGCTTTATCAAGCTGCTTTTGAGAAGAATCTTCCTGATATGGCAGAAGCATTAGCCCACGGAGCTGAAGTAAACTGGGTCAATATAGAAGAAAACAAAGCAACACCACTCATTCAGGCAGTGCGAGGGGTATGTGGTATACAGCATCCTGACTGATGTGGGAGGGGGGGAGGGGAGTAATAAGGATATTTGTGTCACTGCTTCTTCTAAACTGCTTGCTTTGCTCTTGAATGATAATGTCATGCTGAAATTGTCTTTACAAAGTTATCTCAAAGTTGTTTCTGAACTATTGTTGCTTGCTAGTGCTATACGTGTAGTGTTTAGCACATGCTAGCAGCGTTTAAACTTGATATGGAGGCAATCTTTTTCGTTCCCTTTACTGCATGACTGAGAAGTGAGATGTCAGGACAGGTTTGGCTCTGATTCTCGAGATCTGGTGTTAACTTGTTTGTTTTGCTCTTATTCCACAGGGCTCATTGGTTACTTGTGAATTCTTACTACAGAATGGTGCCAATGTGAACATCAGGGACACAAAAGGAAGAGGACCCCTGCACCATGCCACAGTTCTAGGACACACTGGGTAACTCACTGTTCCAGAATCTGTAAAGGGCTATTTCTACTAACACAAAGCTGCTTCACTTCTCAATATATTCAGGCATTTTAATATATTTCAGGTGATAGAGTTTCTTCTTAAAATTTTGTAACGAGAAAATAACATTTTTGTATGTCTCATCTGCTAGCAAAGCACATGACTATAAACACGTCAGTCCATTTTGAAAAATGTTCATTTAGTAAAGTTTTGGAATAACATAGACATCTGGTGAAGGCTCATGAGATGTTTCTCGTTCTGTTGAGAAGTATGGTAAGAGTAAGAGAAATAGGGGTGAGTGAGGCAAGGCGTTTGTTTCACCTGACCTGTGTGTTGCTCAGAAAGTATTTCAACTCAAAATGTATCACATCACATCCTGAATTTTGCAATCATGGCTTTTAACTGAAACTCTGTGCCAGCTCAGCTCAAATGAGGACATCATCTGTTGTGTGGTGCCTGTGCTTTTTGCATGCATGAATCCTGAAAAAGTACAAGTTCACAGCTTGAGAGAGTTTGAGGTGTAAGGTTAGTCAGCATGCCATGTTTATATAGGTGAAGAAATGTGTGTACACATGCATATATATTATATATGCACATATATAGATGAAAAACAGCAGAGAAAAATCAGATCAGTTTCTACGGAGTAAAACAGGCACCTGTGTCTGAGGATTCTTTACTGTATTGATTTATTCTGATCAGTATTTCTCTTCTGTTGTAGTAAAAAGAATGAAATTTTTTGGTTCTGTGACCTAATTTGATAAAGGCAGAGGCTTACCTTCTAAAGGGTTCAGCTCCTTGCTATAATAGCATGATTTGACAGTTCAGTTATTCCTCTTTGGAAAGATAGCTAAAGGCTTTGTACTTCTGTGTTAACATCTTAATTACTGTAGATGAATAGTGCCATTTTGAAATGTTCAAGAGACTTTTGGTAAATTAAGTCAAATACATTGCATCCAGCTTTATTTGCTTTTTTCTATTATTGTTGTGGAAATTGTTCTTAAATTATTTTTCTAAACAGACAGGTGTGTTTATTCCTAAAACGAGGAGCAAACCAGCATGCCACTGATGAAGATGGGAAAGATCCATTGAGTATAGCTGTAGAAGCTGCAAATGCAGATATTGTAACATTGTAAGTTGTATGTTTTTTTGTTGTTTTTTTTTTTTACTAAGTGTCTTAAGTTTTCATATCATTTCGAGTTAAAAAATGTAGGAAGTGTCAAAATTCCTTTATGTAAAAACGTAAAATGTAGGAAGAGCAACAGAAAATTCAGAGTGCAGTATCCATAAATGGCCTCGCTGTTGAAGTTCATGAATGGGACTTTACTTGCAGTTGTCTTCATTGCTTTAAAGGTGACATTCTTCTTTTTGTTTCTGAAATCACAGGTTGCGTTTAGCAAGGATGAATGAAGAAATGCGTGAATCAGAAGGACTCTATGGACAGCCAGGTCAATACTCTACTAATAACCATACTGAGATGCAGTATAAAAAGTGTATTCAGGAATTTATCAGTTTACAACTAGATCCTTAGGGTCTGAAGAGAATTTAAGATAGCTTCATACACTAATAGTTTTTATAAGCGTTAGACACACATTAAAGCTTCATTATGGTGCGGTTTTGTCAGATTATATAGGGGACCTGAAAGGACAGTGTTTAAAGTACATAATTATGGTAATTTGTTAGTACAACCATTACCAATCTGTTTTGCTGTTGTATGGTTTTCTCCTACTGACATTCCACTAAAACTCATGTAATGTTAGGATTTACCTGACAGTTAGAGCAGCCTGTTAAGCCAGGTTGCTCAGAGACACTTGAGGAGTTCATGTTATTACAGGATACCATTCTTCTTCTTGTGGAATGGACCTGTTTTTATTATTTTTTTTAGGGAAAAAAAATCCTTCTACACTGTACAAACATGTATCAAATATTGCAAAATAACTCCAGACAAATAGGAAAGCATTATTTCCTCCATTTTTATTTAAAAATATTTTATGTTAAGATATTTAACAGAACAGTTATTCTTAAGTACGTATTTTTGTATGCATAATATCTTACTGTTTGATTTTTAAAAACAAACATAAAGCACCTGGCAGGCATTTGAGGCAACCAGTACAAGAAAATAAGGTTGTTTAATGAATCTGTGCAACTTATTCTCAGGCAGTCAGTCTCTATTTATACTATGTTCTGGCGTGATATTTATGTAAGCCATTTCCTCTATTATGTTTACCTAAGAACCTTATCTAATCTCATGCAAAGATCAATAATGAAGGCACAGTTGATTGTCAGGTTAGTCAAGGTAGGCACAAAAACATTGTCTGCTGGGCAGTAGTGAAAGAAAGACCTTACTTTTAAGGTTGAGTGAGTACTCTTGGCTCGCTCTTATGGAGCATTTGTGTGTTTGTCATTAATTCATAATGACTGTGTGCTTATACCTTTTACCAGTTTGGGGCTGGAATATACTCAAGGGGCAATGTTGAGTCTCCTGTCAGTATCCCAGATTAGTGCTATCACATGAACCAAATGTATGTATTTCACAAAGTTTCTCCTGAAGAGTAGATGTTCTGCAAATTTGTCTCTAAACAAAACCAGGAAAGTCAAGTTAAAACCATGAAAGTACTAAAGACACTCAGACATTCACAAGCTCTCTCTGGAGGAGCAGAAAGTAATTTAGAGATGAATACTCAATTGTGAGCTTAATGAGAAAGAGTTCTCCACTCTAAATGTAGCAGGTTACGTACGTGGAGAGGGGAACCTATTACCTGTTTGGTCATGTTGAATGTGAGGCTGTTTTTTGATATAATGCATACTACTTTACTGACAGCCTGAAGGTAACAAGTATTGAATTATTTTTGAATCTTCTAGTTCTCATTTGAAGAGGTAAAAATAAAACTTTCAGTTCAAAATAGTGAAATGGATTTATTTTAAGGGAATTAGGTATTTTGATTCAAAAGCTATGTGCTAAATCATAAATGAATATTCTAGATTGCTTAATTGACATGTCAAAAATTGAAAATTATTATGAAGTAGAAAATGTTTCTATAGTTTGTACAAAAAGCCAAAGCTGATTCCTAAATATTACAAGGCTTACGGTCTAATTCATAAATTCAGGCACTACGTACATGAAAATATGAATGTTTGTTCAAACTGAAGATGGGGTGGAGACTATTCCCTGTTATTACTGTTTAAAAGATTTTTAGATTCTTCAGTTAGGCAGATAAAAAGCAGGTGAGCCTTTTATTGAAAATATCTTGACCTTTTTACCAGTCTGTATTACAGTAGAATCTAGGGACTGCGGCTGATGCATTCTGATCTAGATATTTTGCAGACAATTTCCAGCCACTGTAAATGGGCAAGACTGACAGTGGAAAGTAGAGCCACCGCAAGGGGTAGAGCTTACCTAAAATCAAAGAGAGGGTATTGTTAGAATACCTACTGAAACTCAGACCACAAGCTGTACAGCACAGTGTCCCAGCCAGATGATCCTGCTGTATCTTTGAATACAGCAATCTTACTTGCTGAGGTCTCTTTAAAAGTTGAAGTAAATATTTGAGTGTTTTAGATGTTAATGTCTGCTAGCCTGCTAGAAGGATTGTGTAAATGTGTAAGTGTAAGCACAAAGCCCCTCTGCTGTTAGAATAGAACAGTTAGTTGGAAAGGACCTTCAAAGAGCATTTAGTCCAGCTGTTAGGATGTATAAATACCCTTACTTGGTCATAGACAAGGCAGGTTTTTTCACTGCATAGATGTGTTAAAATACCTGCATTACCCTTATTGTAGAACTCCTCTTTTCCAAAATTATGATTCTAGAAAAAAATGAGGATTTTTAAGACAATTGTGTGTTTGTTGGGAGATATGTGAGGGTAAATATCGATGTAAGAATGTCATCACAGTGAAGCTAACTGCATATTGCTCAGCTTTAGTAATGCAGTTGATAATTACTAATGTAGCTAATAGCGTCAACATCTCTGATTTAAATATACCTGCCTGGTTTGAGCTACTTAGGGAATGTATATATTGCTTTGCAAAGTACAGTTGGTCTTCCAAAATATTCTTAGAATGGGAACTAGCTGAAACTAGCTTGTTCCACAAAATGGTCGTTGCTGGTGGTAGAAGCCATATGCACCATTGTGCTGTTTCTTGTATAATACTTGAGTGCTCATCTTCTGGTGCTACAATATGTCTGCTAACTATTTGATATTAGTACTGCTACTTTTCTCTTCCTATTTTTTCTTGAATGTATGATGTGTGCCTTTTAATTTATTCTGGTGTTAAACGGTAAAGCAGTGTTATAGTATTTTTGTATATAAAATCTGCACTTTAGGGAAAACATTACTTGGAAAGGGAATTTCCAGAATTAAGTTTTAAAGTAAGATTTTAAAATAATTATAAGGTTTACAGTATTAAATATTTTAATGCAGCATAAAGGGGCACTTTATTTTAATCTATTTTTGTATGTAATATTTTTGTTATGTAATAGCCAAAAACAGAGCCACAATGTACCTTGCAAAAGTAGCTTTTGTTTTTTTTTCTTTCAATTTTATTTGAAAGAATACAGCAACTTGAACTACAGTACTAGTTCGTGAATGGGACCCATTTCTGTAATAAAAACATAGTTGCTTTGCTTGCATCACACAAGCTTGATTCTCATTTGTTCTCTTCGAACCTGTTCTTTTGATGGATGTTACAAACTCTTCTTTCATTCAGTGCTTATCTTTCAGTGCAAGCAGTTACCAGAAACTTAATGATAAAATGTGTTGTATGCCTGTTTGATCTCTAGAACATACTTGAAACTAAACCTGAAAACAAAAGGGAATTCTAGTAGACCTAAGTTTTCCTAGTAGAGTAGTGTTGAATTCATTTGTCCTTTAAAGTCTGGGCAGAACTGTGGTTACACTTTCATATAAACCCATGTGCAGTGTTAAGCATTTGTGGAAAGTCAGTTGTCATTTCTGAAACTGTTTTCAAATGAATGCAATCTCATCTCCAACACTGGAAAAGGATAATGGTTCTAATATTGGAAATGTACATTAAAAAAATGGAAAACCCAAACAGTGTAACTCTTCACTGTAGTACAGTCTATAACATAAAATCCCTTTTAAGTCTTCCCTTTTGAAACTAGCGGTGAAACGATGCTTTTTTTTCTTCCATAATCCTGTTGGGGGTCGGGTGGGGGAATGTACATGACGGTAGAGATTTTGGGATGATTCTTCTGTCATATTATTAATCAAGGTATCAGCAGGGAGCAGTAATGCTGGGAACTTATCCCATGCAGTCATCCATGTTGGGAAGACAGCAGCACAATTTGGATGGCTGAACATTTCCTGACTGGACCAAATTTTAATTCCCTTTGAAGTCAATATGGTACGGTTAATGTTTTAAAATGAAGGTTAATTCAAGGCCCAAAATGCTGCAGCAGATTAAAGAAATGTGAAAATCTCCATTTTAAGATGGTAGAAGAATGACTTGGCCATGACTTAAGAAGTATTCTGTCTGGATTGTGGTTTTCCTGTGTAGATAGAGGAGGGGATGGAGACAGAGCAGATAAAAATTGCTGCCTTCTCTCATTTTGGAATATTTGCTCTAGTGGTCAGGTTGATTTTAGACACAAAGGGTAAAGACAAGCAGCAAACAAAAAGATTTTAAAGAAAATATCATTACTTTTATAAACCTAGAAGAGAGATGTCCGATAATGCATCAAAAATTTATACTTGTGAAAGTAATAGACCAAAAATGTTTATGAACAATAATTTCCCTGGTTACTTAGGATTGCTTTTTTTATATACTCTTTGTTTGCTAATTGTTTCTTTCATGGAGAGTTTTTTCTGGCTGTTTGACTTCTGACCTCTGTTTCCAAGTAAACCTTTTTTTATGCCATAATTCTAATTTACTGATGAGTCTTGGTTAGCACGTCCTTTCCAAAACCAAGTATTTTTTCTCTGATAGCTAATAAACATTTTTATTTTTACGTTGCTTAAAAACGCTTGCACTTTTCCTTTCTAACTCTGAACTTTCCTCTGTGTGGCTGCCTTTGAGGTACTATTTCAGGTATAGTTTGGCTTTGTTTAATTTGCTTCTACAGAATGTGCATGTGATTAAACAGTCCCAGTTCACATCAGCATCATTCCATCTGTGTAAGAAGTCTTTACACATTAATATAGATGTTACTACAGTAAATGGTAGCATGGTAAGGTGTTTGTGCAATGATGGTTGATGTTAGTTAACACAAGTGTTTAAAACTGTTTCCCCTTTTTCTTCCTTCTAGGAGATGAAATTTATCAGGACATTTTTCGTGACTTTTCTCAAATGGCATCAAATAATCCAGAGAAGCTAAACCGTTTCCAGCAGTCAGATTCCCAGAAGCCTTAAGTGTCAAGAAGGAAAAGAACCTGCTCCTTCTAGTGCAAGTCGTCTTCAACAGAATGAATTATGTGCATTTTGTTAGATAGTTTGGATAAAACGACCACTCTAATGTAGCTGTAGATCATGGTAGCTGGGGAAATGTGTAGGAGTTTTATGTTCCACAGTACATATACCTCAGCAGCTGAAGAAAACGTTTTAAAGTTAAAGGAATACCTGCTAGCTTGGTGTAGAAATAGGACCAGTTAGCAAGTATGAAGTTCATCTGCAGCTCGTACTTAGCAGAGCATAGCTGTATGTATTGCAGACTCTGAGTGGCAGGATGACCGGATCCGCTTTGCTAATTAGTATCCTATACTGTCATCGGTCTCACTGCTGCCATAAAGATGTGCCTCTGACAAGAAGGTCTAGGTTGCATTTTCTTGGACTGTTTGGAAGGGAAATCAGGTAATGACTTACGGAATTGTCCTTCTGTTTGTGGGCCTGTAACTTTTCTTGTTCCTACCCTGACTCTGGTTAGAGGTAGGCTGTTAATAACAAGATGTGGTAACTTCTCTTTTGCAAACTCTTTTGCAGCAGAAGTTTTAACACCAGGCTGGCTTTTATACTAGTGGCTGCAGGTCAGTCACGATCAGTATATATCCTGGAGGACCAAATTCTAAGAGTTAGTCAATTTTCTTCTGCACCCCTCTTCTCCCCTGAGCCCCTTCTAAAATGAAGATCGCTGTGAAGGAAGTAACTTTTAAATGAGCACTTGGAACCTTTAATGAAAGAAATAAATGTAATCCTGCTGGACACGATATGGGGTTTGTCAGTATTTTGACACCAAAACTTGAAATTTGAGACGTCCAAGTAAAAATGGAAAGCCAAAGGAGTCTGTGTAGAACAGTCACATGACAGCTGTTTGTCACCTTTTCTCTTTGCTGTTCTCACTACTAGCCCTAAGCTGCATATATAAAAATGCATATGTAGTACAGCTACCCTAAATTTAGGTCAATCAATCCTTTATAGCACAGCATGGTATAACATAATCTACAAAGGTGTGGATGTATGTGTGTCTAAACTAAGGCTTGCAGAAGAAAACCTAGGAATTATACTGCACATTTTTGCCAAGTAACAACTGAGAATATTTTCCAGCTGTATTGAGGGCAACAATGCAAGTTGCTTTTTTTTGATGAGCTCCACCTGCTGATGTGCATGCACAAATGGTGTCTGTAGATATATGCTTGTATATCAGGTTATGTGCTACTAAAATAATCACCAGAAGCCACAAACCAGCAGATGCAATTCTTCATATTGTATCTGTCTACCCTATGGACAATTTAAGCAGAATTTTTAAGTTACATACCATCAGTGTGAGTTTTTTATAATCCTATTAGCCATGGCAGTATGCTAACCTTCTGTTTAAGTGCATTTAGGAACTGGCTTTTCTCCAGGCTGGCTTGTATAAGCAAAATTGGGTAAAGAATTTCTGTAAATTGTGGTAAAAACTGAACTTTCTGGCATGTTAATTTTTTAAACAATGTATTTTAAATATTTATCATTTTGCAGCAAATGTATAGTAGTGCATTTAATCTGGACAATTCTTGATGTGAAGTTAATAGCATCTTAGTGTCCAACAGGTCTTTCCAAGAAAAAGAATCTTTAAAAAAGTTTTGTTTAATCTGTATTCTAATTATGCTAGGAAAAGCAGACTCTGCCCGTTTGAAGAGTGTGTTTAATTGAATAATAAGCAACTTACTAGAAATTACTGCTTACAGATGATTTCATACGTTTCTTTTAAATAATTGTCTATGAAATGACAATATACTTTGTAATCTGTAGTATTTAACAGCAATGGACATTTATTTAGTAGATTTTAGAGAAAGTAAAATTCCCCGTGTACAGATGGGACAATGTAAGATATGGCTATGTATAGTATATACTGTAGACATAGGGTTTTTCAGAAGATTTGTATCCTTTGCCATCTACATGACGGTTGGTGTACAATGTGAATGTTTGGTAATGTACAGCTCCCCAAAGCTTAGTGGCATAATCGCTGTCCTACTCCACGCTGCTGGGAAAACATCTGAGACGCTTTACCAATCTCCACTGGTGTTTTCTTTCCTACTTAAAAAAAAAAATCAGACAAATTTTGCAGGACAATTTTCTACCAACAAAAAGTTTTTTCCCTGTAGCTCTGCTGATTCATCTACTGCTTTCCAGCTCTCGTCTGATGCTCTGCAGTATCAGGCTGTTTATGCTAAAGGACAAGTAATGTACCCAATCCACAAATTGTATGACTTTTCAGGAGATTTGGAGTTTCAGTGGTTCAGGGAGCAGGTGTATCAATTCTGATCCTGGAACCTTGTTTCCTGATCCTTTTAGGTACACTATGATATCCAGGATAAAATGCATTTTTCAGGCCAGGTGCAATACGTGTCTGGAGATCCGGCTCATCAGCAAAAATGAATATGCCATTAAGTTCCTCGACATGTATCGAGGGTTTAGTCCTGTTAGACACTGGCAGGCTCAGTGCTCCAGGGTCTCTGTACCTTACAGGATTCAGCCCTTGGTAAAACAAAGTATGACTGACTCCAGTGCTATGGAGATCTGGATTTCCTTGAGTTCTGATTCAAGTGCTGATGTTCTGCACAATAATTTTAGGAAACTTCCATTTCTTTATTGCAGTATGAAGCTGAGTGTAACTTGAGTAGCAGACTGTAAGACTCTGGTATGTGTTAACACCTTGTACCCTGTACCAGATAATGGAAAGCTTCAATTCCAAGTCATGTTTCTCTATATATGAAATACGTCATCAGTAATCAGCGGTGTACAAAGCAGTAGATTCCAAAAACACTTTAAAATCGGCTTTCATGTGGATTTTTAGTAATTTACTATACGATCCATTAAAAGATTTTCAAGTATTCCTCCTAGACAGAGTTGGATCACGTTCCAAAAGTCTCTTGGAAAGACAAATATGTAAGATCTCAACGTATATTCTAATGCATATTAATTTCAGAGGTATAACTTACGTTGCGTGTTAAGATGGTATCTGTGGTATCTCCACAGGGATCTGTATTGTTTTGACTGTTCAAAAGGTTTCATGTTTTGTTAATGCTGGTACGATGTATGTAAAACTTCTAAATTATTATACTGAATAGTGCTACTGAATTATATTAGACATTGAAATTCCCGTAAGTTTGGGTGAACACAGTAAATGGTCAAAGTTTCCTTATCAATCAGGACTTTACCTAAAAAGTCGCTGAAATTTCTTGCCATCTTTCCCCTGATTTCAGAGGCTTTGGATTGTACCCTTCACGATTCATGTTGTCGCTGTGTTAAATGATTGTGTTAACATTGTGTTTTTTGTTTTGTTTTTCCATTTCCTATGGTTTTATATTTTACCACTTTATATACTGAGCTGAAATAGTTTCAGTAAATGTACCCCCATCTTCCTACTGCTGTCAGCAATTCCCCATACAAAGGAAGCTTCTCCTGTTTTGCAGTATGCCATCTGTACACATCTGAATTACTGAAATTCTGCTTCGTAGAGCAGAAACTTCAAGTCACTAAAGAAAAAAGTGAGAACTAGAATAAGCACGGGAGTGATTATATTTCTAAGGCTTTGATGCTCATCTGCAGCCACGTGTTTTCAAATAGGGTTGGTAACTCTGCATCTTCATCACGAGAACCTCCCATGGAACAGTGATTACCAAAGGACCGGTTGATAGAGTTACAAATAATTGCAAGTACCCAGGAAGTAATGCTTTCCTGCTGTCAAAATGACCGAGCTGATTTTTTAATACATTAAAAGCCAGTATTGCAAGCTGCCCTCTGCCAAGTCCCAGGGTGAGATGTAAGTTAGTTTTTGTGTTTATCGTTCTTGCTTGTACTGTCCTCCAGCCTCCTGTGCTGCCACAGACACCTTACAGCAGGGCCAAGCCCAGAAGGCAGTGCTGGGGACAAGCAGAGTGTGCTACTGTGGTGCATCCCTTGGTTCTGCACAGTATTTCCTGCCACGGGAAGCGAAAGAAGATGATCGAGGAGGAGGAGGAGGACATCCCCCTCGCCTTCCTGTGAAGATTCCAAGTGCTGTTCTGCTAGAAATCACCGAGAAATCACTATTCCTGCGCCTGCTCTGTGTGAACCGAGCTCTGATTTCCGTATCCCTGTCCTTTAAGCACCCAGCAGCCACACACCCCTTGGCCGTGCCCCCGCTCCGTGCCGTGAGGCGGGGCGGGGCCGCGCCTCAGCATGGCGGCGGGCGGCGGGTAGGGACGGAGCGGGGCCGCCATGGCCGTGGGGCGGGCGGGCTGGGCCCGCTCTCAGCCCTGCGCCCTGGCGCTGGCGGCCGCCCTGGCCGTGTGCGCCTTCTACTACCTGGGCGGCGGCGGCGAGACTTTCTCCACCGCCACCCGGCGGCTCCGAGCCACCCCGGCCAGCCCGGCTCGGCGCGGCCGAGCCCTGCACCTCCTGGTGCTGTTCACCAAGGCGGAGCGCGGCCCCTCGCTGCGGGACAAGGCCCGCGCCGCGCTGCGCTCCCTGCTGCGCCACGGCCGCCTGGGCCGCGGGGACGCGCTGCGCCTCCACCTCGTCACCGACCGCAACAGCAGGGACATCGCCGAGGGGCTGCTGCGGGACGAGCTCGGCCGCGCCGCCTTCCCGCACCAGGTGAGGCGGCCCCGGGGGCTGTGCGGGGTGGGGGGAGCCTCGGGGAAGGCACACGGAGCCCCCCCCCTGAAGGCAGCCGGTGTGAAGCTGGCTCAGGTCAAACAGGGATCTGGTAAGTGGAGGGGGCACCGAGCTGTGAGGCGCCAAGTAGGGACCCTCCTGTCCTGAGATGCTTCTGTTCAGAATTAGAAGTCTTCTAATTCTGCCATAGCTTTTGGTTTCTCGTTTTTCAGATGTTTCATGTTGGCCAAACTCCACCAGAGCAGCCTGAGGTGTAACCTGCACGTTGTTCACACACAGCACTTGTTGGCAAATAATCCCATCTCACTTCTCAACCCATTGTACTAGCACTAGCGCTGCCGTGCCACCCGTAGCAGATACCCTGCGCCGTGCAGAGCCGTCCCCAGCTGTCTGGATGTGGCAGGTAACAGCTTTGGAAACCTTCCCCTGCTGCAGCCTGAGAGCTGGCGTTGTGCACGGTGCTGTGGCCTGCAGTGCCCCGTGGCGGTGCCAGCAGACAGCTGTGGGGCTGCTGTTCTGCCCGAGCTGGAGTTGAGCTGGCATTAGGTGTGCCGCACAGCAGCTTGCTTCAGGTCTGTGGCATCGTGTCCCTCAGAGAGGTTCAGCTGCTGGGCCGTGACGGCATGTGGATCCCTCACGGACACCCCTGTGGGCGTGCAGCTGCCTTACTGCCCTCTGCTCGTGTCTGAAGCCGAATTCCTCTGTGGGGAGCCTGTCCAGGACTGCTGCTCCAGGAGGATACAGGCTTGTGGGGCTTACCAGTTAGTGTTGTGTGAGGTGGGAGCGTTCTGTGGGGTGAGCCTGTGTGTGTCTCAGGTGGCTGAGGACTTGCACCGAACCATGGCTCAGCTCTGGGACAGAGCCGGTCTGTCTTGGGTGAGATCAAGCAGCGTGGTCTGGAGAGTTCAGGTGACATCTCACCAGGGTCTGCTACAGCAGGAGCTCCTTCCCTTTCCTGGAAGGCGTGATGCCTCCTGGAGATGTTTGGTTTTGTTAGTTGTCCTGGGGCTGGCAGCAGGCTTCACACCTCTGCAGTTACCTGTTTTTTAGGCAGATAGGTGTTAATACACAGGCTTCTGTACTAGTTCTTAGTCTTGCACACTTGCACATGATATTGTGACATTTCTGGTGTGCTTAACAGGTAACGGTGCCTCTTTTTTCTTGCTGGAGCCTCTCCCATTCCTCTTTGTCAGCAGAAGACATCAGCATAACCTAGACCTTTTGTGCTGCTAAAGTTTTGAGGAAGGTTCACCTTCAGCCTGTTCCTCTGGTTGCTTCAGCAGTCACCAGTCTCTGTCGTGAGACCTCTCCTCCTGGCTTCTATTGGCATCCCCAGAACGCTCTCCTCGTTCTTACCCTGTTCTCCTGGAGCAGGCCCAGAGCTGAGGCTTGACAAAGTGCTTGGAAGGCTGCTGGAGCTGCTGAGGCAGGATTGATGAACCCTGAACTTTACTTTTTGTTCATGAGAGGATTTAAGCTCTGTTTTTGGAGCTGTCCTTGCCCTCCCCTCCCAGCAGAGCTGGGATCAGGCACAACCTCTGCTAGAGCGGAGCCCAGGCACCACAAAATCTGGATCCCGATCCTTGGGGCAGGCAGCGGGCCAGCTCTCATCTCCCCCACAGCATGTGTGCGGGCTCAGGTACTTCCAAAGCCTTCTGGAGAACGCAGCAGCCAGCTGCAGCCTCGCAGGCAGCGTGCAGATGGTGAGCAGCAGTGCTTCGGGGTGGGCAGACCCAAGCTGCGGGACAGTCATCGCAGTGGTGTCACCAGCCCTGCGTGTCTGAGCCCGTGGACACCTCCCAGACGTGCAGCTGGGCTGGGAGCGCAGCGTGCGGGCGGCAGATGGAGCTGGTGCTCCGCGCTGCGCCGCCTGCATGGGGCTGCGGGACATGGGCGCAGCAGGGAGCAGCCTGCCCCGGCTTTTTGGCAAGGCCTGGCTATCTATTTGAGACAGCGTGGCTTTAGAGACAGCGCTGGCTCAAGTGCTGCCTTTCAGGAAGCCTGAGGGTGATTTCTACAAGTCGGTGCTCCTCACCCGGGCAGGTCAGCCCGACTTTTACATCTCAGTCCCCTTCTGTGTGGTGTAGTTACCCGCCTGCCTCAGGGAGGTGCTTTGGGAACCGCACCGGGGTCGCGGGTGAAGGCTGAGCTCTCCTTGTCCTCTGCAGGGCTGCTGTGCCCCTGCACCTACAGGATCTGTGCAGAGGCACCTGGCACAAGACGGAGGGACAGTCAGAGAGAAAGTGTGGTGGCTTTTTAGTGAGCCAATTGAAAGGGTCTGTTCTCAGCGTGAGATGTGTTTGTGAAAGCAAGTTGCACAGGAAACCCGTGGAACTTACTTTTCTTAATGTCCTCAGCAAACTTGGTCAGATTTAGCCACGGGGATTTACTGAAAGCTGCTACGCAAATAAATAACCAAGTACAAAATTAGCAGCAGATAAACAAGCTGTGCTACAGTCAGTGCTGGAGAGAGGAGAAGCCTCCGCAGTACTGGTGAGGACAGCAGTCCTGTGGTTGCAGGAGGATTTGTCGTGTCAGGAGCTGGTGTTGCAGAAGTGCTTACCCAAAGAATGGGCAGCAGAAACACATTTTCCTCTGTTTACTTTGGAAGGCGAGGGAGGACAGATGATACCGTGTCTGGAGTTTCAGGAGTGTTTTTCCCCTGATTTTTGTCCACCGGTGCTTGGCATCCCTCTGCTCATTTCAGAACTGACTGGAGTTGGTTTGAATTCCATTTTATTTTTTTTTTCCCCTGCTCTGCTGTTCATCATCTCCTGAGCTGGGAGGTGATTTAAGCCTGGGCACTTCTCAGAGGGAGACCTGCTCCCACCAGTGCCATGGCAGAGCAGGGATCTCCCAGGGGGAGGCTCCCTGGGTTGATTCTCTGGGCTGGGGCTTGGCTCTGTGTGCCTGGGCAGCAGCGTTCAGCTGTGTTTCAGCACCCAGCAGCAGTGCTGCAAATCTCCTCGCTGCAATTGTGTGATCCTGTGCTAACGGTGAGGGCAAAGCTGGCCATGCACAGCCCCTGGGGCACAGCATCCTCCTGTGCTTTGGGGAGCTGGGCTGAGATGCTGCTGGTAACCGAGTTTCTCCTTCTCCAGCGTCTCGGGGAAGTTCTGCGCACGCTGTGTTGTCCAAACAGGAGCGTGGCCAGCGATGAGCTCTCGCAGCACACTTCCCTGGTACGTGCTGTCCTGTGCTCTTCCTGCCTTTCTCCCGAGGCCGCGTGGCGTGAGGCCAGCTGCAGGACACGCAGCTCGCAGCGTGGTCGCGCTGCTGTGAAGTCGCAGGGCCAAGCCTCCAGCTCTCAGACCGTGCCCTCGGCCTGGAGCGGGTGTGTGGGTGCTTCCCCAGGAGGAAATCAAAACTCTGCTGCTTCAACTCTGCCCCAGCAGCGTGCTACTGGGGGCTTGGTGCTGTGCCCGGTGGCTTCAGGGCTTCTGCTAGCACCCAGGCTGGACGTGGACGTACCTCGCTGTGCTCAGCGCCGCTGGGCCCACCGACAGCTCCCCAGCTCCTGCAAGCACTGCTCTGAACGAGAGCTGTGATCTGGGGAACAATTTCAGCAAGAAGGTGTGGGAGGAAGAAGCTTCAGGCTGCTTTTTGTCACTGCCTCCATGTCTGTGCCTGCTTCCCTGGGTGTCAGAGCATCCCCTTGCGCATCCTGCAGAGAGCCCAGCTGCAGCACCAGCTCAGGCTCTAGTGAGCTTCTCTTCTGAGGCACTTGACTTGGCTTTGGGTTTAAAAAGAAAAGCTAATGCTCAAACCTACATGTTTAAGTGTACAGTGCAGTTTTCCTAGCTTTTAAGCAGATAA